GATTCACAAATCAGCCCGGCAGATGGCACTGCAGTCGGTACTTTCATACTTTGCTTAATATCCTAATCGCTTTAAATATCATGCAGGACAACGTCTGTGGGGTCCACTAGTTTTATTATAAGAGTAGAAAGTGTTGCATGCAACTTTGCAATATATAAAAAAATAATTCGATTTCTTTTTTTCTAAGATAATGTTTTCAGCATCTTACCTGTGCAATAAGCAACGCTACTTCTTTGGCGTTCTTCCATAGTTTTTTCTCTGTAGGTGAAATATTCGGACGATTTTGAAGCCGCTCTACCAACTGGCAAGCGTTACGAAATGGCACTTGTTTTGCCTGAAATCACCATTTTTCATTAAAAAAAAAATACAATATACATTTAGAGGTCACACAAAATTTCCAACAAAATATTGAAGCTATTCTTACTTTTTCTTATGCTGTACATGCAAGTGAAAGAGTCTAATATACTAACATATAAAATCAAGGTCAACTTTATCTTCATTTACAATATAGACAATAACAGCTCGACAGGATCATATTTGATCACAACACGACAAATGGAATAACATCCTACAAAAACCATCACATGATGAAGTGAGTGCTAAAATGTATTCAAATTACCAAGTCAATACAAGTAGACCGCTGTGTGGCTTTGTGCAATAGAACAAACTCTAAATCAGTAATAAATTCCCAGATTTCAGGTGTGAAGCCTGCCTCATTGTTTAGGATCCCCGCGAATGAGTCTTCAGAAGCTTGCTCTGCAGGTTCTGCAACATTGAAAACATGACAAATTTAGGCAATACGTTTTCTTTGATATACGTAGAAAAAACTTTATAGCATTTTTTTTATTGTGCAACGGTATAGGTGTAACACAGTACAAGGAAAACGGAATTAACTTAAAACATTATTTTCTCATACAAAAAAATTTAGATAAAATTGGTTGACAAATTTAACACCATTGCAAATTTATTCATACTAGACGACAGTAAAAAACGGCAACGGCGTTTAATTTAAATAAAGAATGGAAAAAAAAAAAAAAAAACAACCAACAAAAAAAAAAAAATTAAAAATTTCCCCCCCTCTACAACAATTAAAAAAAAAAAAAAAAAAAAAAATTTTTTTTTTTTAAAAAAAAAAAAATATTTAAAAAAAAAAAAAAATAAAAAAAAAGGGAGGAAAAAAAAAAAAAAAAAAAAGGGGAAGGAGAAAAGAGGGGGGGGGGGGGGGGGGCCTACTATAACGATATTTCACTTCTTTTCGCACTAAAAAAAGCGTAACAATGGCAACGTCTCTTGTAAAAATTGTCAATGGGAACTATGTATTGTATTTGTACTACATACAATACGTTGTTTGTAAAACGAATAAACATTAATGTGACCAAACGGCTTAACAGATTTAATTCAAATTTTGCAAATCGTTTACCATCGTTGAGCCGAGCATTATGATGGCCACGGGATTAACTACGCTACAGATTAAACACAAAAGCATTCATATTAGTTTACAACTACATAAAAATTAAATATGTGGTTCTCAATTTGCTTACAGAAATATACTAATTATTATACCAACATACCCTTTTGCGACTCAATTTGTTCAATATCAGGAATTCGTCGTATACAAAGACGCGTGCGCTGCATAACAGCAGTTGCAAGACGTAACGCGAGATCGACACAAGATTTTAACGCGGCCATCTGACGCAGCCGCGTCACAAACATCACACCCCGCTCTTCTTTTAGCCATTCTAGAACTGAAAACAATAATTCGAAATTAAGTTTTGACAAAAATCTCAGACTGGACAGATTCTATTAAATAGTTTAAACCCAAAAAGACAATTGAGAGGATAATTTCTCACTTGAACAATGAACTTGAATCTTATTGCTGCTATATTATAAAAAAAAGGGTGCGTGTACTTATGTACGCACGTAAGAAGTTATACTTCTTTGGCATTATTAAAAATAGTTTTTAATTGCATGCAAATAATTAATTACAAATAATTAATAACAATTAAATAATCAAAGACTGGAAAAGGAGCCATTATAGTCAATAAAATTCAGTTTACATTTGAAAAATTAAATAAATAAATATTTATTATTATTCTCTTACATTAAGTGTAACATAAATTCTATTATTATTCGAATGTTGTTTTTAAATTATGTCCAATGCCGTAGCATCTTCCGGTAATGTCTGGATTGGAACTTTAGTTATCAGTGGCCTATGATAACTAAAGTACGATATGAAATTTTTTGTATTAATGGCGTTTAGATATCGTGAAAATACAGCATGGTAGTGCCGTGTCGTGTTGTCGAAATCAGAGGATTATTATTCATTTCTAGATTCAAGTCATTTTGGAGGAAATCAATAATATTTATCATTTTTTAAATATTTATTCAATTTATTTCTTTATTTTTTTTAAATAATTAATTATAAATATTTAACGTTAATAATTTAATGATATTTAATATTTAGTATATTATTCAATTATTAATTAATATTAATAATAATAATTATTAATATTTATTGTTTTATTATAAAAATTGGTATCTTATATTACATATTATTATATGTGATCTGTATGTCTTCATCACATATAATTTAAAAAAAAAATTAAACTTTTTAGCAGTTTTATTCAAGCAAAATTTAAATTAAAATAAGAGACAAAAATTAGACTAACTTTGTTCGTCACTTGGTGACTGCTCACTATCTAGCAATGCCTTCAGAACTGGATGTCCCCAAGGATTTGGCAAAATTGATTTAAACCAGTGAGCACGAGTTTGGAGCTGTTGCTCCCAATACTTTGCCACCCCATTACGCTTAGATATGGCTGTGGAGCAGTCTTCTAAAAAGGCATCTATTGCTTTTGCTAATAGTGCATGCTGCTCTTCGCATTTTGTCCATTCCGTCTGTTGAAAAAATAAATCACTTTAAAATTACAACAGAAACAGCTATGTCAATGAATTTTTAAATGTAGAATGAATTGCAAATTGTGTCTGGGTTCATAAAATATATTGTACCTGTAGGACAGTGGAAGCAGTGTGCCGCTGAAGCCATGACAGCAAGTGGGGGTGTGTTGCTGGTGCACAGTGGCTGCAGAGGCTGTGAATACGCCGCCAGGCCTCGCAAACACATTGCGTCCGCGCAACGCCCGAGCTATCGCCGCAGAGGCGCGAGTCCAGCGACTGCACAAAACATTTTTTTAAATTTGTATAATATCCTACCTATTACTCATACCTATCCATTAGGGGTCCTACCACATAACCTTGTATTTTTAAAGACTATAATGCAATAGCACATAGCCACAAATGCCTAATTCCCATCAATACCAGGGCTGGGATTAAATTATTATATTTAATAAACACATTATTTATAGACATGGAGTATGATTTTCATCTTACAATTCAAAGTGTTCTGACTTAAGACAAATTATGACTCCCGTATGTCACATTTAAAGCTAAGTCTTGTTGCTGATTATCCACCTTAGACAAAGTACCCAATTAAAATATAAAACTTTGTTTTTAGTGGTAAAATAGTAGCAGCAATTTACAAAATATTTGTGGATTAGTTGATACTTTAACCCAATCAAAATATTATGTTAACAGCTTGTTATCCCCTTTTGTCATGAAAAATAAAAGTCTATTTTACAAATGCCCCTTTTAACTATAGGACATTGATTGGTAAAAACAATTTTAAAAGGAACAAAACAATACTTTAACTCTAATAGATAGACGGATCTATTTTTTGTAGGGGATTTAATTAAACTTAATATTTCCCTGTTTGAGATGTTATTAGCTCTTAAACATTATTATCACTGACTTTAAGCTGTCTTAGTATCCTAAAATTCATAACACTCTAATAAATATAAACCAAGTCATATTAGAATATTTACACTGCATCCAAATTAAAACTGTAATTTCATGCCACTCTAGAATTTCTTAAGTGAAGTGTGAAAAGTATAACTGGCATTGTTATCATTTACAGTATTTGTAATTTGATCAAATATGGACTCATCATTATGAAAGTACATACAAGGGTTGTATTACAATAACAATTGGCGACTTAAACAAATAGTAGTTCTTTACTTTTAAATATTAAGAATTGTTAATAAATTTATTTAACAGATATTATTTACAATTTCAAAACTGTTATTGTTATTTTATATACAATTCGGTTGTACTAACAGCTACAAGAAAGTTTTTTGACATAACAAATAACTGTTTCTTTATAGTCCCAATATTTAACAATGAAAATGTGTCTTTGTTTATAATAGGCATTTAAATCTTAAATTTTATATATGTTCAAAACACAATAATGATAATGCACTATGCTGTTGCTATGTTAAAAAAAATTGTGGTACCATAACTTAGTATTATCAGTTTAAGCTTGTTTTTCAGACAGTCTTCATTTTCATTAGCTTTTATTTTTTGTAATATATGAGTTACTAGAGTTTGAATAGTGCATGCTATAGGTAGATATGTACGTGACTTAGAGAGATTTTGATATGGCTGTCAAATATTATTCTGTCGTGATTAAATCAAAATACTATAGATTTCTTAACATTAACCACTTTTTTCACTTACCATTGGCTAAATATTGTCCGTTTAGCACATAGTATGCTTAAAATAATAATTTATTATTAATACTTCACAACCATAATTTTTCACGCGACGTTTAAATAATCCGTGTTTGTATTATAATAAAAAAGCGCTGATATTAGTGAATTAAGAGTTCTTATTTATAGGTCTTCCAAGATACACTTAGTCACTAATTTTGAAAGATAAGCGACAATATAAATAGTAATTTATGAAAACAAGGTATCAATGGAGACAAATATGGCGTCGGCAAAGAACTTTAACCACAACGGCGTCACATTATAAATCGGCAGTTATGAGTAAATAATAAAAGCACTCACCTTGTAAAGTGCAATATAATATGATTTTCCTTTTTGGCTATTCGTTTGATTACTTATCACTTCTTTTCCGTCATTTGTAGAAGTCATTTCTCAAGAAAATATCGCGGCGAGACATTTATACGCTTGTGTTTTCGTAATGGTGCTGTCAAAACTTGACTCAACATTAAAATGTATGTTGTGTATTACCAACACTAAAAACTCAGAAATAATAATAATGTGTAGCGAATCGTAGATACGCACTAAAAATGTACTATATTATTTTGTGTAGTATTTTCTATAAGATTTTGATGTATGTGTTATCATAACGTTAGGACACTTCGCAGGAGACGTCCATGCACTAGTTGCGGGAATAAGACCATTTGCGTTCGAGCCTAGCTGAGCTGTAGCTCACTCAATCTAGCTGTAAATCTTCAGGCCCACAGCGAGATCTAAAAATTACTTTTCAATATTATTGTAAAACATATTATGCAAATAAAAGTATTGAATTCGTTTTCGAAACGTTTTTGAAGTTATACTTTTTTAGGTGCGTTATGAAATATTGATGAGAGTGAAATTTTACGATGCGCGCACCGTGTCACAAAATTATCAGACTGAAGTTAGTGGCGCATGTTGGCACGCACGCCACCTCTGTTCACTGTGTAATTATATATATAATATTTTTTTGAGTTTTTCGTTTTCATTTTACAAGTGTGAATTTTATATGTGCGTCTGAATTATAATCAGAAGTGATTTAAATTGAATATTTAAATCAATACTAATTAATATTAGAAAAAAATAATAAATGTAAAAATAATATTAATAAATATTTATTTATTTAATTTTTCAAATGTAAACTGAACGTTATTGACTCACAAACTTTTTTGAATAATGCCAAAGAAGTATAACTTCTTACGCGCGTACTAGCGCTGACCGTTATTGCGCAGAAGTAAAAAATAAGGTACCTGAGGGGGGCTAGCGGAATGAAGAGCGTTCGCGCGTAGCGTCGATTGGCTCTCCAGTCGCATTCCGTCCCCCGCACCGATACGACGCCCCACGCACATCCCGTGTACAGTCGCGTCATTAATATTATTGTTACTGTTGTTACGTTTTGTTGTTTTTGTTACGTTTGAATTTGTTAGTGTTTTGTTGTTTGTTATTTGTTTTTAAGTTTGTTTGTGACTTTAAAGTGAATATGCCTCGAACAAATACTGTTTTGAAAAGACAAGCCAGGAAAATGGTTTATGAAGTTAACTGTTTTTTAAAAAAGGGAATCTAACGAATTAATTGATTCTTTGAAACAAATCCAAAGTGAGATTGACGAAGCTACAAATACTTTGTCCAGTCATTCGGACAGCAACATTGTAAATTTGAGGCATATAATGTATTGCGTGCGCGACAGTACACATGCGCAGCTATCCCCTCCACGTATCGGCCAGCGCTAGACATACGTGCCGCTTATAATACATAAGTACACGCACCCTTTTTTTTAAATGTATAATAGAATCTTACCCATACTCATCACAAGTAAACGCAAAATAATTATAATAACAATAATTATAATACAATTTTTAGACTGACTGTTCTTTGTTCATGGCAACATTAAGCTTAGAATCGGGGTGGCCACTTAAAAAGCCTTAACAACGTTATAGCAAAAAAACATAAAAGGGATACTTTACTTTTTAAATTTGCATATAACTATATATACTAACTATATATGCTAGCAAATAGTATTGATTTTAAATGTTTAATTTATTGGTATGTATATTATTAAAGGGAACATGTATTTTTATTACAAGTTTTAAAACTTTTGATAGATTTTTCTTGTGCAGCTCCATGTATATTATAATTTTATTTATTATTTCATGTTTGAAGTGCCTTTTTAGTTCTAATGGTGTACCTTTTATAGGCTGATAAATATGTTCGGACATGTTAAGACTTGAACTTTAGATACCATTTTTTAAATTACCAATGGCCACACTGTGTACAAAGCATCGCGAGTGTCATTTCAGAATTATTGCGTTTTTCTCAAAGAAAATCCTTTTTGCAATTTAAAATATGTAATTTACACAACATTTAGTGTTCATTTAGGTTTGACGGTAAATTAATATGTAATATTATATAGTTTTTCTGTTTTTTACTTAATTAGATTCAAGTTGGTCTTCATAAAATTGATTGTGACACTGTGCCCGTATAGAATGAGAATTCAGGACTTTAGTTCTATTTTAGCTTAACTGGTTAAACAACAGAAAAACAGATTAATTATTACTATTGAGCCTGATCAATAACAATAAGTATAATGCTTGCATGAATGTAAATCAATTATGTAGATTTTTCCGTAATATTTTCGTACATCTGTTAAGAGATTCTTTAATATCTTTATATTTGTAAACTAAAGAACATAACAGAAAACAAAATGAGACCAATTTGGTATTTAGATTGTTCTGTAAATTATTATCAGTTTTATAGCTTGGTACAAAAAGCAATGTCAAGTGAATGTACAGTGATTAGTGAAACATGATTTTATATTTGTTATGTGCAGGTGTGGTGTTATGTATGTACCAAGTGCAGTGATTTGGGCTTTAATAGCAAAGTGATTTAAAAATGGCAAAAAAAATTGGATAACACTGGTGGGAAGCTTGTCACCATCTCTGTTATTGGATTATCTGGTAAGTAACCTTTTTTTTAAATTTTTAATACAATTTATAAATTACACTAAAAGTTTATACAAATATTGTTGAATATATTAAATAACCTCAACCTAATATTTTATTCATGTTTTATAGACTGACATAATTATATAGATTTAGTTGTTCCTTGTTCAATACATAAAAAATATTGTTTGAATAGATATATGTTTATATGTGACAGACAATTCTTTAAGATGTTTTAAAGTCGGTAACTTTCAATTTCCTGGTATAAATTTAGATCCCCTACCATTTCTAAACCATTTTATTTTGGTGGCTGTCATGCCTATTATCACCCAATTGCCACCAACATCCACTATTGTTATCAGCACATCTCACAGTTTGAGCTTCCTGTGTTTTATATATTTCCTGTCTTATCTTAAGTGGTGTAATTTAAAATATATTTCTTAAGACTTTTTGAAATAAAGTTTTAAGTAGACTTGGAGATCCCCATCACTGTATACTGGAAAACCATTTGAAATAAACCTCACCAGTCAAGAACATAATTATTGATAAGTCTAAGTTATTTTTTCTTTAGAAATGCTTGGTTACATTGGGGCCTGAAAGACAATAATTAATCAATAATATCTTAAACCTGTGTAAATTTCAGTTTGATCTAAAACAATGCTTATGCTCTTTTGTTAATTATATGTATATATAAAAATTTATAAACATATAATTTTATTAAAAGGTATACCAAGTATATGTGTATGTAGTATATATATAACTAATATATGATACATACAGTATTATACTTCAATATGAAGTTATGTACATTGCTTTAAAATAGAATTGCGTTGGTGTTATCATTCTAAGCTTCATTATCAGTATGATAAAATGTCTTATTATGTCAGTGATTCATATCACTGCAATCATCTTAAATCCTCTTTCAATGTCAAACACCCATGTCGGTGTGATTTCTTTAAACAATTCAGTTAATACTAATATTAAATTTAGAGGGATATTGCAAAAAGTTTATATTAACAGTATAAAAATGTGTTTGTGTAATAATTTCCAATATTTAATAATTACCTTAGCTGCTTTAAAAATATAAACGATGTTTACTAAATTTATTTATTTTCAATATACTTATTTATATTTCATTGAGAAGACAGTAATAGTTATAATGATTAATTGAATTAATTGTATAACACAACATCATTCATCATTATCAAGAGGGAAAGTATATATGCGGTCTTTGCTCAGGTATGCTAAGTAAAAGCTTGGGTTATAATTTTTTTTGGTAACATAGCCATCCGCTATTGATTCTCATAGTAATAGTAAAATTAATAGGACATTCTTAAATATACAAGAAGAAAGCTTTTTTTTTAGAAACTATTACTAGCATAATTTTTTTTTATGTATAATATATTGTTACATCATAATTAATTTGTTTTCAGGTACAGAAAAAGAGAAGGGGCAGCTAGGTATCGGGAAATCTTGTCTTTGCAACAGATTTGTTAGAACTGATGCTGATGATTACAATGTTGATCACATCTCTGTCTTGAGTCAGGTCAGTATGTATACACACTATCGAACATCTACGGACAAATGAGCATGAACTATATGTTCATTTCTTACAAGCCACTCTCATCTTACTCTAACAGATTATTTGTTTATCATAACAATTTATTTTTGGTTAAGCTTTGTGTTTCTTATCTAATTACTTATTTACCATATTATATATCTACTAGCTGACCCGGAAAGTTATTTCAATAAAAGAGCGTACTAACTATATAATAAAAATAGGGGTTGAACGTAGAGGGGTGAAAGTTAGGGGTTGTATGTATTTTTGTTTGCTGTATCATAAACAAATAGAAACAAAAAAAATTGTCTAAAAAATAAAATGTTAGGGGTGGACAACCCTTATCACTTAGGGGTGTGAAAAATAGATAGCAGCTGATTCTCAGACCTACTGAATATACATATAAAATTTGATAAAAATCGGTTGAGCCGTTTCGCAGGAGTATGGTAACTAACATTGTGACACGAGAATTTTATATATAAGATTATTCTGCAGCTTACATTATTAAAACCTATATATAATTTCTGTGTTTTAATATATGTATTGCAGTGATTCTAGATTCAATTCCTAGAAAGACAATAATTGTACTTGTCACATCTGTGAAATACAAACATATATGTTCACCTTAAACTATACTGAATGGTTACATGACTAGACATCCAGTTGATTAATTGTCTTAGAAGTTTTATTTACAAGTATATATTAAATTTGTCTTTTATCTTGTAATAACTCTAATCTGCATTCCTTTTCTTTTACAAAAATAAGCAATTGTGTGATTGGTACCTTTAAATATGAAATAAATTATTGTCCACATCTTATTGATTTATTTGTAGTCTGGCAAACTGGAAATATTCAGGACTGTGTTATTCCGAAATTTAACCGGCTAACTGTTATTCGGTAAAATATATTATTAATTTATCCGTGTACAAGACCCAGAGGCTGTCTCGGTAAAAATGTAGTTTGCGAAATAAAATAGCGTCAGGTATTTGGCGAGCGTCTATAAACTTCGCCTTGTTATTGAATAAATAATTTTGAATGTGCGTCCGTTGAGACGTTGAATAGATGTACTCGTATGAAATGCCTGAAATGGAAAATGTTTATCTTATGTATGGTGAAAAAATTTGACTATGATGGTAATTGAATTGTCGAATGACATAATAAAACTATTTCGTAGATCGCAGTAAGAACAGGCTTGATTATGCAAGACTATTAACCCAAAAAATAACTCACCGGTGCGTAAGAAAGTAGGTTCGTTGGTTACAAATTATGAATAATATCCAGATAACATTAACATTAAAGACATTTTCGGACACGTTATACACTCACTATATTACGTAATAAAAACAAATTCAACAAACTTTTTTTAAATCATTTCTTTAATTAGTAAGACATGACCAGAGGTCAGGCATATGAGTTTTTAAAGAATAATTTATTTTTCGAAAAATGTAGGCTTTCTTTTCATACCTCTATATTTTTCACACGACCCGGTAGCGGAAGTGAGCCGCCACATCCCGCGTGCGGAACAAAGCATAAAAACATGGAGAAAAATATGCCAAGGTTGCTAATTCTTCTAATAAAAATTCAAAATAGTAGTGAGTAGACTATAGAATTTATATGGATGGTTAAGTGAATAATTTACACAAAATTTAAAATCCGCAACTTTGTATTGGATAGGCGTAGAATGTTCGATTTCAAAAAAACTATATATACATGGATCGCCAGAGTCTTTTTAAAGCAAAACATGCAAGTTTGACGCACATTTAAATACTGTATTGAGTAATATACAGCTAAAACCGGTCGGTATAAAAAATATGATGCCATATTAGGGGTAGTTTAATAAAAAATAAAAAACTTATCAAATTAATTGTTAAATTTATGTATGAAATATTTACAAAATCCAAAACTACGTCCTAATTTGTCGTAAATTGTAATAAAAAGCTATTCGAAACCATTTTAATATCAAAAATGGATGTAATACCGTGCAACGAATATTACTTGCGGAAGCTAACAATGTAATTTATTATACATGTTCAAGAATGCACACACGAGATGAGCTGTATCCCTAGATTGAAGCTTATAGCTTTACGCCCGAACCCAGTAACATATCTCAACCAAATCCACCATCTGAGATAGTAATCTTAATCCAAATGTTGCAACAAGTGAGCCAAAACCAACGAAGGATTGTAATAGGCATCTGTCGATACAAGCTATCCATGGGAGGTCGTATCGGTGTCTGTGGATAGACCTTTGTATGAAAATGACAGTTGACGAAAGCTCGATTTCAACAGTTAATTATTATAACTTACACCAGTTTTTTAAATAATTAAAAAAACTGTTTATTACATACACATGTATATTTATGTTATTTGTACGGTTTTATTTACTTTATTTGGTTTACATTGATTATCAAATATGAGTGAAAAGTCGGTAAAATGGAACAACAAAGAGCATTTTATACGTCCCCAAAAATTTGGAGGATTGTTTTCGTAGGGTTTAGTTATTGGGATGCAGATAGGAGATCGATCGACTGTCACGGTCTGATCTCAGTTTTTTTTCAATCTGAGATTGTGGATTGATTATTGGGTTCGGGCGTTAGGTGAATTCTCATTTTAAATATTTTGTGCTATTATCCGAACAAAAAAGAAATAGTGCAGCAGTAGGAACTATTTCTCAATTCTCAGGTTGCGCGTTCGATCTCAGACCAGACAAAGACAGATCAACGGTTTTTATTTCTATACTCGTAATATACACTTTATCTTACGGTAAATCTTCGTCTAAGAGCTTCTTCTTCTTCTAAACACTGACTCACCTACTCATAAAGAAAAATTAACAATGAAATCTGTAAACATTAGCGCTAATGATAGTTATTAATCATAAACTATGTTATGTAAAGTGACATGGTTTTAATAGGACGAAAAGATTTGGAATTTATTCATATTTTATGTAAATTGGTTAGGATAATTATTGTTTGAAATATCGGATTAACTACTCCGACTTGAAATTTACACTAATAGTTTGGTAAAACGAAAAAAAATACCGAAACGGTTACGATTGTTATTTTTTCATTATTTTTCTTGTACTGTACATCTAATATAATATTCTCGTGTTACAATGTTCGTTCCCATACTCCTACGAAACGGTTCGACCGATTCTTATGAAATTTTGTATGCATATTCAGTAAGTCTGAGAATCGGACAACATCTATTTTTCATCCCCCTAAATGTTTAGGGTGTTCCCACCCCTAAATAATTATTTATTTTAGACAAAACTTCTTGTTTTTATTTTTTTATGATACAACATACAAAAATATATACAACCCTTAATTGTCACAGTAAATAGTTATTTTTATTGAACTAAAAAAATGTTTCCTAGAAATAAACGACGTTTGCCGGATCAGCTAGAAATAAATAAAAAATGGTTATATATTGTCACTATGCGGTTTACGAAGCGAAAAAGGCTAAGTGGCAAATACTAGGTTTCATGATAATATGTATCGAATTACGATTTAATAATACAGGTCACTAAGTTTACCTAAATCGCTAAAATTAGCATTTATTATCTAGGTCAGCAGACAGGATAAAAAATATATGCTCCAACCGGTATTTTTATACACGTTTTCGGGTCTCAAAGTATAATTATCCTTTTGATGATAACAACTATACTATTTACGTATCTCTAATATATATATTGTTACTTTTAGTATAGTATCTTTTAATTTAGAAGTCTTCCCTTCGTAGAACTACCAATTACGCTTCTCTGGACGTTATATTCTGTAAACAGTATACAGTTCTTCCTTTTTCTGCATGATAAGATAGACTTAGCGCTTACTGTAACTCCCATATGTTCAAAACCTATTGAATATGAGTCTTATTGAGTGCTAAATCGCTATTTCGAACCTTCTTAGAGACTACGCTGTGGTAATGGAACTTGCCCTTTAAAAAAATTCTACATAACTATTTTTTACTCATAAGTTTCGTATTTTTCGTATAATGCTACCAAAAGAGCTTAACATGATGCAATATCTAGAATGAGGATAGATTAAATGTGTAATTAACCATAGACCGGCGGTATGGAATTTTACGCGAATTAAATCGCCGGGAGCAGTCAATAATTTCTTCCAATTTAATTGACTTGCCCATTTGAAAAATGGCTTCCGCCAATAAGTGCGAGTCGAGTGCCAATAAAATCTAATTAAAACCCCATTAAAATGTACTTAAAATGTTGAGTAAGCATTACATTACAATTTCAAGTCAGTTTGTCTGTTTTTAAGTTATATCACATTTGTAAACGCTGGATTTTCGTTTAAAATATTGATAATTCCTTGATAAACACTAGTGTACGGCTCTAGACCAAAAACGGACAAGTGACATATTTGCACGATTGAGCTTGTTTGAACGGTTACTTGCAAGTTTTTCTAACCTGACTGTAGACACTTGTAATCTATAGCAATTATTTGTAAGAAATAAGTTTTGGTTTACTATCGTTTCCCTTAATCATATTAATATATAGTCAATATCTGTTATAACAACTCATATTTGGTCGTAAAAACCGATAGTCCTAACAGCCGATGACGTTGTTATTCAGTACCTAATACAATAGAATTCAGCCGGGACCTTTGATTTTGTTTTTTTTTACAATATAACCGGTATGTTGTTCTAAACGATGCGATGTCGTCGTAAACGGTTTCGACTGTAGATGCAAATTAAATAAGAAAACATTTGATTAAATAAACCATTTACATTGTTGAATTTTATACAGTAGGTATGTGCGTGTGAATTGTTTTCCCGTCTCCGTAAAATCTCTCAAATTGTAACGAGTAAAGATTCATCTGTGGCACCATAATCGTAATTATTTTGTTAAATTTGTACATTTCTGAATATTTTACAGTGTAACTCCGTCGAGAGGTCGATGTGAAGTAGAAAATTATTCAACAAGTACACTATATGTGACAATAATATTTGTTTTCAGTCTGACTTCAGCGGCAGGGTAGTGAATAACGATCACTTTCTGTACTGGGGTGGTGTACAAAAGGATAATGATGATCAGGAATATCGATTTGAAGTGCTCGAGCAGACGGAGTTCGTTGATGACGCATGCTTTCAACCGTTTAAAGGTTTATTTCTAATTAATTGTAGTAATAAATTTTAATGAGGAAATACGTATTTAAATAGGCACTGATTGGCAATAATCCCCTTATAATTTTTATACAAGGCAACTAAGCAAGCGGTTTGATTAGACTTAAGTGCTAACCGCATGCTTCTGCAATCTCCTTTATCTATCGTTAATCTTATTTTGATATTTGTTTGTGTTTTGAATTTACCTTAGGTACTTATGTCTATTAAGGCAATTAATAGTAAAAGCTTTTAATGTTGCTTAACTTACATGTTTCATAAAATGTAAATATGCCTAAAGAAATATAGTATTAACCGTCTTAAATCTCATTATTATCTAACGGTTATTATTGTTTTAGAACTTGTTCTTTGACAAATACCTCGTATAAAGATTTCCAATCTTGGCGGTGCGTATCTACATTGAACACACTATCTTTTTGAAAATAGTCATATTTTTAAAGCGATATAAAAAATATAAAAAAACCCAGTAGCCCTACAGCCTTTTTAGGTCTGGGCCTCAGATTTCTGTATCTGTTTCATGATCATTTGTCAATATAATAAGCAAATGAGTGATCAGACTCCTGTGCTTGACACCCGGCGTCGACGTGGGTCTAAGGCAAGCCGGTTTTCTCACGATGTTTTCATTCACCGGTCGAGCGAATGTTAAATGCGCACATAGAAAGTCCATTGGTGCACATCGAACCTACAACCTCAAGAATGAGTGTCGCACGCTGAAGCCACTAGGCCAACACTGCTATCTTAAAGCAATATAAAGTCGTACTATTATTAAATAAGTTACTCCAACAATAATCTTTTACAGCGGTTGGTAAAACTGAGGCATACGTAAAGCGATGCGTAGCAACAAAACTGCAGTCCGCTGAGAAACTGATGTATGTATGCAAGAATCAGCTTGGTATCGAGAAAGAATACGAGCAGAAACTGATGCCAGATGGAAAGCTCTCCGTTGACGGGTTCCTTTGTGTGTACGACGTCAGTCTGGTGCCTGGCAGGACTTGGGAGAAGCAGGTAGGTGTATTTTGGTATTTTTTTTCATTAACTAGAACAGCAGTAAAGCCTGGTTACTATACTAGTCGAAATATGAGCGCGTATTTGACATCAGTGCTATAAAAAAATGTACGAAACGTAGCAATCGCCACTGGTATTTTAAAATTCGAACCCGGGCTAGCACTAGCTTTACGACTAATACATTTTGTATCGATTATCGATATAGACAGTCAGAAATCATTTCGTACTTTGGTCACAATGCGTAGGAGCGACGAGAACCTGTAGAAGCTAATCGATGGACTTATCAAGTCAAAGACTGGTTGTCCTCAGAATTTTTAAACCGTTGTGCAGGATCTGCGCCAGATCTTACTGTACGCTCAAAACTTGGCGATTGAATAGAGTTGCGGAGAGTTTCTTGCCCGCTCTACGCCCTTGACCTGCGAGCTGGTAGTAAATGTAAATTTAGAATTAATTTAACATCTTTTCTGTTGACGTTCATAAGTGTACTTGGTTACCTATATGAATAAAGTTATTTTGAGTTTGAGATTAACTTTACCACGATACTCACGATACCGACCCAGAGAGAGAGTAAAGAATGTAATTTTTATGGACTCTACTTCCGATACAGCGTCCTTGATTTCTATCTTAATTTAATTTATTTTTGTTTATCCTTATATCATACATTATAGTGAATTTGCTGTTGAAACTGAAAGATTCCTATAAGTTATAAGAGAAAAAAAAATTAATTTGGTTTATTTTTTATTCAGTCAGTGTCAGTTGGCAGTTTAGAATTTATTTTTAATAATCAAAACTTATCAATCAAAATCGAAAGGTTTCAATACCCATTCAATTCCTGGGCCCTTAACTGTAATCTCAATAATGAGTTTAAACGCGCGATCCGAAGGTAGGAACATCAGTGCCATGAATGTAGAGATATCTACAACTTTGGATGTCACAGATTAAGGGTATCGAAAAACACCTTTGTTTGAGCTCGTGGTTTGAATACACACGTGAAGTTTTCCAAAGTAGACAATTAATACATTCATTGATATTTCACACCTTAAGTTTATTGAGTATCAATTAACGATTGATAGATATAATTGATTGCTAACAAAGACCGCACAATCGCTAATGTTTGTAAACAACTTTATTCATGACCTTACTCTATGCACATAATGATATAGTATGTGTCATAGAATGTCTATATCTGGAACGTAATATAAAGATATCTTAGTTAAACTTACGACCATAATATTAACATAGTAATATGTATGTATGAATTAGTTTTATCCGCATGTATCTAATATTTAAGACGAATCATTAAATATCTTGCGTGGCTCCTCTTAGCTTTAATCCTCGGTTCAATACTTAGAGAAAGTTAAATACAAACTAGTTTAAGTTTGCTTTATTTATTGATTTAGTATAAAATACATGCCAGTTATGGTAAATAATAAATATATATAATAGTATCAATCGCTTATACTGGGAATAAATAAGGCGAAACTGCGTTTCTCTGTGAATACAAAAGATTTATTTACAAAAGAAATATCTCTTAATTTACATTTAATAAAAAATATATATTTACAAATTATTCACTCACCTGTGAATACAAAAGAAACAACATTAAAAGCCTATATTCTAGGTTTTATAAAGTAAAATAATATAATGAATAAATTAAAACATCTTACATATAGTATGCCAAGTGACATTTAAATTAAACATCGTCGATCAGACGGCAAAGACAACTTGTCTATATTGTATTTTACAAAAGAGTTTATATAAAATACAATATAGACAAGAGTTTGTATAAGAAAATATATTATTTTTGTAATATGTTATAAAAAAAATTACACTTCCAATTTTAAATTTTACTGGTAATTCTTTGCTCAATATAATTAAAAAAATTACTACTAAAACAGAGGATTTTACATCAGACACGCACCTAGTATTGTACTACTCTGGATAAGTAGAGTTTATTCTGTTATATTCGCGAAAAATTCGAATGAGAAGTGCCTGAACTTCTAAGTTTTTACGGACGGAATTTTGAAAATTCTCCTGATTTGAACCTCAGGAATAAGGGACGACATTGTAAGAGGTTACTAACACTTGGCTATAGATCTCCGATCGTACAGTGTCATAGGCCTATGAGAAAATCCTGTACTAATGAATGCAAGGTGTCGAGTAAATTATATTTGAATGCTTTCAATGTAGCTTTTAATACTTGTCAAATTCACGATAGAGCAGTGCCAGTGACAGTGCCTGTCATTATTAAATAATATAAAGTCTTTGATGAGTTTGCAGGATTTTAAAGTTACTTATTGTCATGTGTTAATGAATTAATACATCCTCTAGAATGAAATAACGGCAGCGATCCTCCAAAACATCCTCAAATTGAAGAAGCCAGTGGTCCTAGTGACATCGAAAAACGATGAGTCCTGCGAACAAGGGGTCAGAGAGGCGGAAAGACTAGTTCAGAGGAAGGAGTTCAAGGGTTCCATTCCAATCGTGGAAACATCGAGTCATGATAATGTTAACATCGACCAGGCTTTTTTTCTATTGGCACAAATGATTGACAAGTCAAAGGCCAGGATTAAGGTATTTTTAATATGAACATACTTGATTGCCTATCGTACTTTTTTCTAAATTAAGATTACAGAAAAAATCCCTAAAATTCTTAATTTATATGTATTTTCGGTTTAATATATATACTATTAATAGATTTTCTAAAAACAGGTTTTCTGGCGTAAATGTGTTACTATTTAAGTTATTATTGTTTTGAAATGTATGTAGATATTTATGCCTTTTAATTATCTACAATGATTGCCTGATTGTTTGATTTATAAAATCAATATTGAAAACTCAAGGTTGCAAATTACGCTGAAGCGTTACGGATAAGAAGAGAACAACTCGACTTTGTGACTGAAGCCTTCACTCAACTTATACGAATACACGTCCAGGATCATAAGTAAGTTTTAGTATGAAGATAGGATCTTCGAAAAAATGTTTAATTCTTATACAGTTAATATATTTTTGTCTTTGAGAATTGGGATCTGTTTTATTGATACTTTATTAAAGAAATAGCTTTCGTCGGTAATGCAACCCAGGATCGCAGAATCAGTAGTATAGCCTTCGCTTATGTGCTTAGACCATTAAATAGTAATTTCTATATAAGATATCAATGTTCTAATTTATGTTGGTTGATAGTATAAGTATATACTACTATTTCATATACTAGTATCAAAACATAAGTCCTAATCTATAAATAGAAAAGCACAGCATCTATATATAGTTCATTCACCTTTCAGTGCTGTAGAAAACTTGTATGGCCTGCCATTCTTCTTTAAAGGCTGGATAGATTTGAATGTGTATTTACTGCGACTGAAAGTGCACGATACTTATAAAGGCAATATTTTCAGAGAAATATGGTCGGCGGCAAGCAAAAGACTATGCATTTACCCGGAATGGACCAAATTTGTTCAGCAATTTGGCAACGATGGTACTCAAGTCGTGTTCCGAAGACATATACGTCGGTTGAAGGAGGAACGGTCAGCAAAGAAATTACGCAAGCAGTTAGCGAAATTGCCGCAAGTCCTGGCTCGGATGCAGTTGCCGACTGACGATTTGCAAGAAAAGTAAGTATTTTTATTATTAATTTAAAAATTGATCAAATTAAAATTCATTCGATCCATTTGGCTTAAAAGTATACAGTGAAACGTCGGGACAGCTAAAATGGTCATTGTAAAATTCTCGTTTGATGTGATTAAATCTGTGTTATATATGATTTAGTATTTTATTCTATTTCACAGCCGCTTTCTATACTCGATCTATATATAATCTAAAATTATTTCCATCAATCAAATTTTGATTGATAAATGTCAATTCTCGATCTGTCGAATTCATATATATTTTACAAGAACGATTTATCAATCGGTTATTGAGAAGTATTTTATGAGAAATGGATTGAAATAATCTAGTATTAAAAATTGGACTGGGATTGAGTATAGAAAACGGCCGTTAGTCGAAGTCAAAAATATTGTGTATCTCACTTTCTCATAGATAAATTCAAAATTCTATCTCACAAAATAAACTTTGGCGTTTCGTTCCAGCATAATGAAAATATTTTATGCTTTTTAGTGAATGGGGCGTCGTAGTTCGCCAGATCAGGACCCATCGCGATTTCACGGTGTACTTCAGTGAGGGGCTTCGCCATTCTTCAGGTTCCGGCTCCGGCTCTGAAGAGAGTCCTTTACCAACTGACACTACGCTACGGGTTGGAGAAAGAGCTCGATATCAGGTAGGAAAAAAGTATTCTAAATATTTTTTTAAAAATATTTTGTTTTCTTCAAAATATATTACGACTTACGCCCGAACCTAATAATCAATCCACACAGACCGTGACAGTCGATCGATCTCCTATCTACATCCCAATAACCAAACCCTACGAAGACAATCCATTTTTGGCGACGGATAAAATGCTCTTTGTCGTTTCATTTTATTTATTTATTTATACTTTATTACCTTATTCAAAAACATACACATAACAAAAATAAAACAAATTTATGTTTTATTTTCCGAGTTTTATTTATGTAAACCAAATAAAGTAATTAAAAACGTACAAATAACATTGAAATATACGTGTGTATGTTTAAAACATAACAAACAGTTTTTCATCATACAAAGGTCTATCCACAGACACCGATACGACCTCCCATGGATAGCTTGTATCGACAGATCGCTATTTCAATCCGTCGATTGGTTATTGGCACACTTGTTACAACATTTGGATTAAGCTTACTATCTCAGGATTTATATGATTATGATTGTGGATTATGGATTGAGATAGATTATTGGGTACGGTCGTTAATGTATATCCATATTTAATAAATCTTTTCCCTTATAGACTTTGGGACAGTCGCAGAAGATCCCGTATGAGATTTTAGAAACGAATGAGGCAGCCTCTGTTTTCAAGGCTTACCTTCACGAAGCACAAGAGAAGCATAGAAATATGGAGTAAGACTTTCTTTCCTGTAAAGTTTGTTTTTGTTGCTCTCTCTCTCTCTAACCGAACCCTCTTTGGGACAAATTTTTAGGTTTCCATAAATTTATGTCGCCCTTGCTAATTGGTTTCGAATATATCTAGTTGATTTATGATTTCACTTTGTTATATGATTATATCAAATAGTGATAGAGTTATATAGACTTATAGTGATAGCGACAGTCGGCACTCTTTTCAAACATTTTTCAAATGTAGAAAATGCAACTATCATGACAAAAATTATGACAGAAAAACGCAAAATTACCCTCCATTTTGCTGCACTACTATCAGATTTAGCTTGTCTTAGTTTCTAAATATTAAAACATTATAGATGGTGCCACCAATTCAAGCGACTTCTAGAAGAGACAGGTTATGTTACACCTGGCAAGCAGTTATCTGAAGTGAGGGTGCTTTTAATGGGGAGAGAATGCTATGAGGCACTCTCAGAAGACCAACAGCAGCGCGTCTATGATGACCATCAGAGAGAGATACAAAGACGGGCGAAGCATAACTTTCAGGTATCAAAAAATTTAAATCTTGCTAAATCTCCTGGAATTAATTAGTAAATAAAATTGCATTAAAAAACTGTTTTTGTTAAAGAATAATTTGGTGTATTTAAAATGGAAAATTTAATTCACAATGCACTAGTAATAAAATTCCTATTTGGAATAAATCATACCCAAATATATTAAAACATTCTATCTACCTACGAAAATAACGATGTAACAAAACAATCTTCATGTTTGAAAAAAAAACGACCTTTCGTACATCATTTCTTTTAGCACAGTTTCAGAAAATTACTCGTGAAATTGTAAACATCCGTTTTTATCAGTCGGTTAAAAAAATGGCAATTATATGTTATAGTTTATCTTTCAGGAGTTACTTTTGGAACACGCGGACTTATTCTATCACTTCAAAAGAATATCTCCAACGGGGACCATAACACAAGAAGACATTAAAGAGATCACAGATGTACTGCAAGATGACTTTAGGTATAAGATCTCGCAAAAGACGTACTAAATGCCTCAGATAACTATTGAATTTTTGTAATTTTTGAGTCACTTAAAAAATTGTTGCCAAAATATTAAACTACGTTTTATTCATGAAATGGTTTCATATAAATCCGTCTTAATAAAAAAAATTTTTTAAATAATTAATTTTTAAGAATTCCAATTAATTTTCCGGTCCAAATATTCGTTTTCAATTAGAGCAAGTTGCTCGTAATTTAATTAATAAACTATTTGTTTTTTTTTGTTCTCCTTTAATACTGGTATTATATTTCTAGATATAAAATGCTCGATCGTATGGAACAGGATCGCAAGTTGATGTTATTCCAGCATTTGGGTTTCGTTCATTGCCCGATGAGGGAACATTGCCCTGCTGGAGCGAACTGTCTCGATGCGACATTGCCGGTTATATTGAATACTAGAGTGGGGTAAGTAAAATGAATTATAGCTGATTCTCTGCAGTACAAAGTTTTTCTCTATATAGAATAATAATTCTGTTTCTGATTACGACTTGCAATAGATACAGTGATATGCACAAACAGCATTTCATAGTGATTTCGTTTGACATCGTGATTTCATAAATCGTATCAGCCATTAGTTTATTTATCCCGTGATAAGTAGGTACTATAAGAGTAACAAAGAATTTGTTTTCCTTTTTTTTTGCTGTAAAATTAAAGGCAGCTTTTTTTATTGTAAAAATTTAATACATTTCAGTTCGCTGACGTCAACGGGCGAGTCTCAATGTCAGGCGGGACCACCAGCTGCCCCGTGGGCACTCACGACTGATACCAACCAAATTAATGTCATCATATTAGGGGTTTGTTCACATTTTATTGATCCTTGATAGTATCAAGATCTATATATATGTATGTATATATTTTAGTATAACATAATAAACATTCATTACAAATCTGTAGTGATCGCAGAGTGAACTTAACCATGAATTTAAGCTATTGCATGTAGCTTGTATCTATCGCGGGCCTAACAAGCGTAGAGACCGAATCCAGAAATTCCGTATCTACAAACAAAAAAAACATTGCGTTAGAGCGGGACAGAACCCATAACTGCGTATTCACGTCTCTCTGACAAGATCGGTAGTAGCCGGTGCGCGACTTACGAGTGAGGCAAGACTATATAGGCGAGTTAGTCTGAGTCTGGTACAGTGGTAGTATGGGAATTAATTTATCAAGAGACGAAAATTTAATACTGCATAGATAATTAATTATAATTGCTAATAAACGTTCATAAAAAAAATGTAGTGCAATAGCTTTGCCGCGGCAGTCTAACCGAGTGCCACAGTTTTTTTAAATTCTATAAAACAACCAAAATAATTAAAAAAATACCTGACGTTTAAAAATTCTCTACAAACAAGAATTAAATGTAATGGTTTGAAAACAAAAACCTCAGTGTGCGTTTACCAAGAATCACTCACAAACAAGATAGAGTTGACAGCTCGTTTTTAGTTTTGTTGAAAACTTTGTGTTTACAAAATGTTCTATAAAGTACACGTCTACAATATTCGTATTATACAAGATTTTTATGAAGTATTTTTCAGGTCGAAGATATAGCGTGTGAATTCGGTAAGCGGCTAATAGCGGGTTGTGATGGCGATAAACGAGTGAATGTTGCTTCTCAATTATGGAGAGTCGAACAAAAACTTGCCTGTCGAGAGATTACTGAGACTCCTAGAGATTTTGCCCCTAATGGTAATATATAAGTGTACATTGTTATCTGTATTTTTTTTTTTTTATTGTTTATGCACTTTTTGCATTTTCCCCTTTATAATTATTTTCCTTAATAGTGTTGCCTGGAAGAAATCAAGTGAAAAAACTGCCCGTTGCCTTCTTAATTTATGTTATCTGAATGTAGATGTACCAAATATAGAATGCAACAAAGGGTTGTTAAATAAATAAAATATAGTAAATAAAAATTTGATAAATTTTGATTACAGCAATATTGCCATTTTTGTTTATATTTTATAGTGAAAGTTCCCTATGTATCGGTAAAAAGTATTTACATTTTGACGGTGAATAAAATAATTTTTATTTTATTCACCGTCAAAAGAAGTGTATCAAAAATAAATTAATAACATACTTTTTGAAACTATATTGGTCTCTTCACTATTGAAATAGTTAGGTCTGTAAAACAAAGTAATCTGAAACAAAGTAGTATGGCAAATCTGTAGTCCTTAATGTCAGTTTAAATTAAAAGTTTATCTCTAATATTAGAGGCGTACACATTTTTAATAGCTGGTGTGTATAGAAAATTTAACGTTATAGGTTACTTCTGTGTATACCAAGACCAAGTATCGTTTGAATACATCAGAAATTGCGCTGAGAAGACACTCCTGTCCAGTCTAGAGCAAGAAGATAAATTGCCTTTTCAGGTTTGTTCTATTTCATATTTTAATTTATATGGCTTCGTAGTACGTAGTTAAGGTATATTCTTGGTAGAATTGCCTAAATTCGTTTAATTTTGTTCAAGTGACGTCATGAATAATTTTTAATGTAACTAAAATTGCCGTCTCGTCTTGAGCGGTGTAAAATATGTTTGATAGCTCTTGAAAGTAGATTTAAGTTTGATTGACCTTCTACATATCAAGTTGGATTTTATATTTTTTATAGATAATTATTATTATTTATCTATAAAAAATACATCGTCACATTTTTTTTAATTCTAGGGTCTTCCATTAGTAGTGATATTTGTTCAAGACGATGGTATGGATAAAAAGGAGTTGGCTCGGTTACAGGAAGAAGGACAAAATCTTGCTGATAAGTGAGTTCCTCGTATCTTATTCCCCATAATGTTCTTAGATTGAGGCCTTAGTCTAAATCTCTCCTAATTAATATAAACATAGTTTATAATTAGAGAACCTATAATGCAATTCAGTATATTAGCAATATCATGTATATTAAAGTTTAATTACTAATGTATTTTTTTTTATTCGAAGATGTTAATGTAACGATATTTTCATAAAAATATGAAAAAGTTTTTTTTGGATATATCTAATTTGTTCGTCATTTTTGTTTTCAGTCTACACTGTTCCTATATGGAAGCATCAGTCAACGAATTGGGAACTGAGGCGTTAACGGCTGACGCAGTGCAAGAGTTGATTAGGGCTAATCGCGAAAAAGCTAGTTATGCTCATTTGTATAGAGACCTTATTGTGTGCTATGACGCTGATATACGGTGAGTTATTAACGCCAGTGAATTAAAAATAACTTAATTTTAGTTAAGTAATACTTAGGGATAATAGGGATGGAGAAATTCCAACCAAGAACTTAGCAAATAATTAAATGCAGAGTTTTTTTATTACCTAAATTAATATTGTATAAAATATTTTCAGGATAATGGTTTGCATGTTTTGTGATGACCCGTATTCGCCGGATCGCGTATTAAGTCCGCTACTTTTACATCGCGCGTGCTTTCTTACGGGAGACAGATCGATTGTCATTGAAACATTTCTCGGAGACTCGAAGCGTAAAGTCGAGGTAAGTACTTACTTTTTTCTTAAAAGAAAACTATTTTTCCCTTATATTTGACAAAAATAACTTAATTTTTTTAGTACTTAAGCTTAGGTTTCCTAGAAAAGCGGTGCCGTTATCTAACGGCCGTCATTTTACGGTTGTTAATAACGGCCGTCTTTACTTTTTAACATAATGCAAAAAATCAATCATTTTCGCTCGATTAGGGATGATGTAACCCTTTGTTTGGTTTTTTATATTTATCATAACTAATTTGTTATTTTTTGTTTAATACGTCCTAAATTTTCTTGAACATCTTATTGTGACAATTTGTTTCTAAACGTTTTTTTTAATTACCCACTTTAAAGTACCGCATTATTACAGGTTATTATATCAAGTTTCCACGGCGCTAGTCAATTTAGAGAAGAACTCATACATGGTTTTATATTAATTTACTCTGCGAAACGAAAAGCGAGCTTGGCAACTTTGAAGTACGTACCATACTCTACTTTTAAATAAATTGCAATAAATCTTTAAAGGTATATAATTAATATCTTGTCAATTCTTCAGGCGCGTCTTTGCCTTTTTCCTATTAAACGGGACTTACTTTATATCATTTATTTTATACATAGAGGAATTATGTCATTCACGTTTAATTCTCACTGTTTATCTATATTGGAATTCTCCTTATGAGGATCCGGTCTGAGACAGATGCACATTATTCTTTGCTATATAATATATAAGTTGGTGATCATAGTATACGTAAAAAAAAGTTACAATCAAGTATATGAAAACGATTAAATCTTCAGCGCATTCTCAATGAACATTCCTAATCTGCCAATACAAATGGTGGCTGTAACGGATGGAGGGGGTTCGGCAGCGAATACCTTCTTTGGTACGGATTTAGGACACGCCCTTATTACGGACGGAAATGCAACTGCAGATCGTCTTGCGGCCCACTTCACTACGTACACGTATAGCAATACTGCTGAAACTAAAGGTTGGTTCACTATTACTAAGTACACAAAAGTACAATGTTTTTGTGCCTATTATTCCAGGCTATAGTCGCTATTTGGATAAATGTTTTAAAGTAATTAGTGTATTACTTTAGTTGTAGTATACCATTACAGATAGTCCTGTGTGCCTTGTAGTTTCAGCCCTGCCAAACTAAGATAATTATGTCACAGTCAGTGGAATTAATAAATAAATCAGTGGCGCTACAACTTTTTTAGGTCTTGGCCTCAGATTTCTGAATCTGTTTCATGATCATTTTTAAATCTAATAGGCAAGTAGGTGATCAGCCTCCAGTGCTTGACACACGACGTCGACTTTTTGGGTCTAATAGGGGGTTTACACGGGTGACTAAAGCCGCACGATTTTTGCCACGCGGCGTAAATCGACCATCTAAATGGCAATTCGGCTAAGTCGCAAGTGACTAAAGCCGCAAGCCCCAAAGTTGGGTAGCATCCGACTTTATCCGCGCGGCGACCGGCCGCATGCGACTGGTGACTAAAATCTACCGTGTAAACGATCAGTTGTAGGCGATAGCCCGCCGCATGAAGGTGTTTCGCGCACGCACGTGTATTTATTTACTACAATAATAATATTTTTTTTTGTTTTTTAAAATAATCAGGATCTTCTAAACTCCACTCAACCAATAAAGTATCCGAAGCACCCAAGACCTTACGTCGAGAAATCTATCCTCGTACCCAAACATTACGTTTTCTTCTTTCCTTTTGTTTTTTTCTTCTCTCTTTGTTCTTTAAGAAATTGTTGAATAATTGAATAATTAATTATTTCGATTCCGGCACATTCCGGCTATTCTGCTCAACATTTTCGATGGAAATGACCGAGCCGCATGCGATTTTAGTAACCTGTGTAAATGGGCTAGCGATGCGGCTTGGTGAGGCAATTTGTGAAGCGACTCGCCGCACGACGAAAATCGACCCGTGTAAATACCCCATAAGACATGTCGGTTTCCTCACGATGTTTTCCTTCACCGTTCGAGTAAATGTTAAATACGCACATAGAAAGAAAGTCCATTGGTGCACAGCCGGGGATCGACCCACGACCTCGGGTATGAGATTCGCACGCTGAAGCCACTAGGCTAACACTGCTCTCAGTGAAATTAATACAGATTCAAAAGATCTTGGTCAGGGAGATCTAAGAGAATCTAATATTATTTATATATATCTAATATTATTTATGTTTCATAGCCGCCTTCTACACGCCGTTCTTTAAAGAAGTATGGGAGCGTAAAGGCGAGATCGAGCGTGCCTTTCGTATGGAGCGACCGGCTGGTCCACACGCACACAATTTACCCGATGTGGCAGCGGCGAGACCGCCCAGAGATCACGGTTATCATCTTGACCATCCGTAAGTTTTTTAGTCCTTCGAGCCGGAATTATTGGAGAAAATAGATCTGTGTGTCCTGTGGTTTTAGTGACCAAGTATTAGTTATGTGATTATATTGTCTTGGTCTGCTTCGAGTAGCGTGTTTGTTGCCATGGTCATCGTTTTTCACATTGAAAAGACATAGTAACAATATCAATGTAACCGAAATATATTTTATATAATCTCATTCGGTAATATTCTAATTATAAAACGAAATACAGACTTTTATTGGCATATTTTTTTACATACTTCTTTAAGAAAATTAAAAAATTAAATTAAAGAATTATTCTCCTAACAAAATAATGCATAAAAACAATTTTTTAATTATTAAAGTACAATGTGTCCCGACCAAGGAGGATTCAATTCAATTAAAGTAAACATTATTTGTGGTGAGCGCGCTGGTTCCTGGAGCCAATAGACCAATAACAGACTTTTGTTTCGTTTATATTGCATTTTATTTAATGTAGCTACCTATAGCCATGAGATTAAATAAAGTAGTGTATGCAACTGCATATAATTAGGTAATAAAACACTCGTGTAATCTTATTTAAATATATACAAAAAACTACACTCATGTTTTAATACCCTCTATTATTATATATGACAGTTGCATAAACTACTATTATTTAACTGTTTTTTTTTACTTACAAACCACGTTTCTTTCTTTATTGTAGACGAAAATATACATTTAGGACATTAAATGTATGTAATAGTGTTTAGTAATATAAGACTAATAATATATCTATTATTTCTATAGAATGGAGCACAAATTGACGAACTCGTTGGACCTGCTCATTGGACCAGACTCACGCGCCGATATGGATTCGGAGTACAGTGACACTATGAATAATTCCAAGAACAGAAGTTTCCTCAAAGGTAATTTCCTCAGATATCTATTGTTTTATAATGATTGTATCATACAACAAGCATCTAAATTACTTTAAGAGTTTTAGAATTAAAAAGAAACAAATTCTTTTGAATTTACTTAAACTATATAGTATAAAAAGCTCATTGAACAATTTCTAATTTTTATTCATAGTAAATTATGTAAGTGCAGTTAGTCATTAAATTTTTGAAGTTATACTTCTTTAGGCGCGTTATGAAAAATTTCACACAAAATTAACAGAATAAAGTTGCCCACGGAAGATGCTACGGCATTGGACATAATTTAAAAACAACATTCGAATAATAATAAAATTTATGTTACACTTAATGTAAGAGAATAATAATAAATATTTATTTATTTAATTTTTCAAATGTAAACTGAACTTTATTGACTATAATGACTCCTTTTTCAGTCTTTGATTATTTAATTGTAATTTATTATTTGCATGCAATCAAAAACTATTTTTAATAATGCCAAAGATGTATAACTTCTTACGCGCGTACATAAGCACAGGCACCCTTTTTTTGTGTTGGTTGGTGATATTAATAGCAATAAAACATAAAAATAAAATGTTAATTATATTTTAATGCGTTACGAACTGAAATATTTTCTAGTACATCTTAAAGAGGGAATAATATTAAATATATTGTCTGGTCAGGTTTCAGCGTATATCCTCCTCCAAGTACTCCTCCGGAACCAGCTCCTCCAGACCATAGAATGCATGGCGATCTATCACGTAAGTCCTGTATTAATATTTTCGATTAATAGTGTCTTTTAAAGTTGGTATTGAGGGAGGGTATCGACTTTTGTATATACAAAAAACTTTTTTAAAATTCTTAACAGATTTAATTGAGTTTTATCCAATATAATTGTTACAAGTGTTAAGACAAATAAAATGAGCCCATATATAAAAGTTATCAAACATATTATATTTTATTTCGCTGGGTTTAAAAGTGTGACAATTACGGAGTTGTATAACTAAAAGAATTGTTATAACGCAGCGGATCTCAACTGTTCGGAGGATTCTCTCAGCACCCACGAGTCAGGTGATTGCATGACGCAATTGTTTACTTTATTTGTATGAGGGGAAGGTTCATTCTTGTGTTGATAGTTCGTTTTGACTTAGGTTTATTTGCACCTCAGTTCAGTACCATGATTCTTAAAACAAAAATGATACAATATACTGTAATATTTCTATAATACACTTAAAAACAAAACTGTTAACCAAGTCATGGTATAGCTCTGTTGGTAATTTTATATCTTCACGCAGTATTTATTGCACATTTAAAAGCGATGCATGAATTATTTATAGATTTATATTGTAAGAGGAAATTATTATGAATTAGGTATTTTATTTGATAAGTATTATTTAAAAGTAATTGATAATCTTTGAAGTGCTACAGTAAAATTATAGTTTGCATGATTTTTAAGTAGATCAGGCACAGGCAGATTTTTAGTAGATAATAGTTATTTTTACAATACTATGATTTTAATATTATACAAATCACAATTTGTTAATTTATTTAGGAAATAGTTGCCAAGCATGATTTAGCATATTCCAAATCGTATTATGGATGGTCCATTCATCAACTAAAGGTTCGGTGAAATTTATTCATACATACCATAATATTATCCATAGATAATATTAAAAAATTCAAGCTATTTTGACTAGTTAAGGGATTTTTATTTAACTTAACCAAGATTCACTTATAGAAGCTTTACTTAATATTTACGTGATTAATGAACAACCCCTAAGCAAACACGTTAACCCGTGCGCGTTTAGACAATTTATCCGTTACTGAAAATATCTTCAACTATTGTTCTTTAAATTTATAAGCTTCGTCACAAATCCTTGGAAATCCAAATTCGAAATCTTAGTACTGCGTGGTGCCGAAACTCTAGAACATAAGAAGTGTTATACCATTGCCAGCGTATATTCTTTTACTTTCATAGTTATTTATTGCACAATTAAATGCAAAAATGTGTGAGTAATTTAATTTTCATAGATGGAGGAGGGTTATGGCAGCCGGCTGGTTACGGGCCGCGTGCATTTACTACGGGACGGGCGCGACCACACCCACCGCCGCATAGACCCAGACATTCACAAACTTTAAAGGTATCAAAACACTTGTGTAATTAAAATATTAATTAATTATGTATAACCTTATAAAGATAGCTGGAATGTAATCTTGCTGTGTGGTAATTCTGAAGTCCAGGTATTAAGTATTGATTATTAATTTTGTTTAAACCTTAGCTGTTGTGTTTGGCCAAAATGACATAAAAATATTTATTTTTTATCATAATACGCGAGTTATTTTTTCATTATTTTATAAAGTTGTTTAAATGTTCAAAAAGTTAGATTTATTTATTAATAATTTCAGCAACCGGGTAAATTAGATATGAACAACTACACAATGGTTAGTGACGCGTTGCAGCACATTACTATCGGCCCTGCACCGGTTAGAGAGAGTAGAAAAGTGAGTAACGTAACTTAAAATTTTGAAATATATTGTTCACTTCATCACGCTTTACTCTGCGAGGAACTCCTCCAAAAGAAAATCAAGTTTAATGTTGAAATAAGATTTTATTTCTGATAATTATACAGTCTACTCTACTTAGTATGAACTTGGAATTTGGAAGTTGGTTTACTTTACTTTACTTTGGCTTTGACTTTATATTATCTTCAATAAATTTCTTATAATGGTTCCAGCACCTAACACTGCCATAAATTTTTCTTTATTTGTTTTCTTTCTGTGGTTTTGTGAAATATGTATTTCTCTAGTCTCAGAGATCAGGATGGTCTCACGGTCAACAATCAGCGCATCACCATCACCCATCAGGTGTCAGCTCCGAGACTGAACTTGATGCTCAATATGCACAGGTAGACATTTTTATTGCCTTAGGCTCAGTTTAGGCGGTCGATTCTGCGAAAACAATAATTCTTTCGGCCTTCATAGAATGATGAGGCAAAACTGTATCTACGTTTTTCATACACAGCTTACATGATTTTTCATTGTATAACAGTTAATCATAAAAGAATGTGAAGTAAAGACGATATCATTTACAGATTAAAGAAACCAATGAATATATGGAAGCTCCATCTATGACCCGGTTAAGGAGGCACAGAAGACACGAAAAGGTTCCTATGCATCAACCATGTAAGTTCTTTTGTATTATATTTCAAAATATGAAAAAGCAGGCGCAGATTAAATGTATCATTTTTATAGGCAAGTCATTCTAAAAATCTATAATTTATCCTTAATATGATAATAAAATTGTTCTATGCATACATAATGCATTGACAAATTAAAGTAGTCTGTGTGGTACACACGTAAATACCTTTGTCTATGTCCTAGTAAAAAAGATACAATTGTGTCTATACTAGTTGATTTAAATGATTTTATGCAATATATTATGCAATAACTTACATTTGTAAAATTACACTTTACGTTACGTCTTTATCATTATCTTACTGGTGTTGAGGTATTCAATATAATCTATTTGTTTTACTTTCTTTCCAGCATTTTCAGAAACAGACAGTTCGGGATCAAGCGAGGCATCGGGTGGGGCTGCTCGCGTACACGCACGTAGACGTCACAACGCACACCATGCACCTCGCCACTATAAGAAACGGTAATTATTTATCTTATTCTCTTCTTTCTTAATCCAACTTATTTCTTTATCATCTTTTTATACGGATCGTATTCAAGATTCAAGATTCAAAGCCTTTATTACAACTAATACAAGAGAAACAGAAGAGTTTACAAAATATAAATGTATATAAAAAAGTTCTTTAAGGTTTTGTTGCACAGCTGTCCTCTTGTACAGCTTGCCTTTGTTGCACAAAGGCCTCCTCCAGCTGTTTCCAATGCTTCCTATCCCTGGCAAGTCTTTGCCACAGAGGACCAGTGGCTTTTTTGAAGTCATCAGCGCACCGCGCACATGGTCTTCCTCTCTTTCGCTTGGTGTTGTAGCGAGGTGTCCATTGGGTGACTTTTTTCGACCATTTTGCTCTCTGGCCTCTGAGCAGGTGTCCTGTCCATCTCCATTTAAGCCTTTTGGCTCTGGTCACTGCATCTTCCCAGTTGGTGATCCTTCGGAGATCTACAGCTCTTTTCCTGTCATTTCGTGTGTAACCTACTATGCTCCTTTCCATACTTCTCTGGCAAGTCACATTTGAGGTTCTTCTCTCTATTTCCTGATGGGCTTGTTCTGTCATGGAGATGAGTTGTCCCAAGTATATGTAGGTTGTCACATATTCTAGGTTTTCATTATCTAGGATAATAGTATCTGGTGTTCTGTTTGTCATAGCTTTTGTTTTTGATTTGTTCATTGTTAAACCCACTTCTTTGCTTTTGGTTGCCAGTTCTTCGATCATAGTTTGTAGTGTTCCCGGGTTGTCAGTTATGAGCACAATGTCATCTGCAAATCTCAAATGGTTGATCCTTTCTCCATCTATGTTTATACCCCAATCTTCCCAGTGTAGGTTCCTGAAGACTTCTTCCAACACACAAGCTTAGGCGAAAGAGGGTCTCCCTGTCTGACTCCTTTTTTGAGTGGAAATGATTCTCCCAGCATCTCCAGTTTCACCCTGGCCGAGCACTGGCTGTAGACATTTCCGATGAGTCTAATGTATTTCCCTTCAATGCCTTGGTTTTTTAGCGCTCTCCAAATGCATGGGTGCTCCAAAGAGTCGAAAGCTTTGCTGTAGTCGACAAATGCCAGGTACAGGGGATATCCATATTCCTGGCACTTTTCGACTTTTTTCAAGGTGTGCATGTGGTCTATTGTGGAGAATCCAGACCGAAATCCGGCTTGCTCGATAGGTTGTTGTTCGTCAAGTTGTTTGGTAATGCGGTTGAGAATGACTTTTGCAAAGACTTTATACACGTTGGACATGAGACTGATAGGACGATAGTTGCTAAGGTCTTCTTTGTCTCCTTTCTTGTGGATTAGGATTATTGTGCTTTGTGTCCATTGTGTAGGTATGTATTCAGTATCCAATATTTCATTGAATAGATTTGTTAATGTTGTTAGTGTGTCCGGAAGTGCAATTTTGATTGTCTCATTTGTTATATTGTCGGGGCCAGGGGATTTTTCATTTTTCTGTGTCAGTATTGCATATTCGACTTCCCTTTCTAAAACAGGTGGGATAGGTTCTTCGTGTTCTGGGTCGGGGTTGGCATATGTTTCTAAATTGTTGTTACATGAGTACAGTTCTTTAAAGAAGGATGTTGCAGTATCTAGTATTGTTTTTCTATTTGTAACTAAGTTTGTGTCCTGTTTTTTGAGTCTTGGTATCCATTGTTTAGGTGGTTGTAGTTCTTTTAGGGCTTTCCTTATTCCTCCTGTTTTAGTAATATGATTTTTTATGCAATCCATTGTTTTCTTTGCTTTATCCTTTTTTATACTCTTGTTAATTTCTTTGCTGATCCTTGTTATTTCTTTTAATATGTCTTTATCCTTTTTGTTCTTGAATAATTCTTTTCTTTCTGAAATTAGTTGTTTGGTCTGTGTGCTTAATATTTCCTTCGTCTTTTGTTTTGGTTTTTTAGCTTGATACATTCTGTTTATTTCTTTATTGTATCTTTCCTGCATTGCGTTCGGCAATTCTAGCAGATGGTTTGCATCTAAATTGGTAGTAAGGGTGTATTCCTCGGAAGGTAGCACTTGTTTGTAGCGTTGCCTAGATTTACCCTGGTTTTTGGCGTGTAAGGTTGCTCTGACCATTCTGTGGTTTGTGTAGAAGTTTAACTGGTTGATTACCTTTACGTCTTTGAAAGCTTTGGGTTGATTGCTTGTTATGAAATCAATTTCGTTATGGTAGCTACCGTCTGGTGACTTCCAGGTCCATTTTTTGATAGGTTTTTTCTTGAAGAATGTGTTGAGGATTGCCAGGTTGTTTTCGTGACTCAGATTTATTAGTCGTTCTCCATTATTATTTCTCTTTCCTATGGTGTATTCACCAATTATATTTTCTTCTCCTGATCTTTGCTTGCCAATTTTCCCATTGAAGTCTCCCATGACTATTAAGTTTTTTTCTGTTACATCTATTGTTTTGGATAGTTGATGATAGAATGAGTCTTTTGTGGCTTCTTCTGCTTGTTCTGTTCTGTTGGTGCATACACTTGTATCAAGGTCCAGTGTTCTCTGTAGCCTGTTATCTTTATTTTTAGGATTGCTATTCTTTCTGAGATGCCTGTGAATTCTAGTATGCTGTTCTTGAGTTCCTTTCTGACCATGAAGCCTACTCCGTAGTGTCCTTTTGTCTCTCCAAAAGAATATAGAATGTAGTCGTCATGTTCAGTGATTTCTGTTCCTAGTCTTCTGACTTCGCTAAGGCCTAGAATATTCCATTTAATGTTCTTGAGTGCCTCTTCCAGTTCCATAAGTCGATCGCACGTTCTTAGTTGTTAGTACGTTGAGCGTGGCGATATAAATATTGTTGTTTATTTTACTTCGTTGCTTTGGCTCATAAGACTTTGGTAGGTTGGGTTTTGGTAGGTTGGGTTTTGGCTGGTTCGATTGCTTGAATGTGAGTTTTTGAGATTTCTCTCGGGGGTTAGCTGGAGGGTTGCGGTCGTGTTTCCCCACGGGGACCGCTGTCCGGCTTGGGGAAAGGTAATTTTTGTTGGTTGTTTGTATTTGTTCTTTGGTTTTATTTTTGTTTTGATTCCGGGGGCCGCTGTGTACTAATTGTTATTGGTTTGATGTTTCAGAAATATAATTTGGTCTGGAGCGTGTCATTTTTTCAAATGCATTCGTTACAATCATTTTCTTTGAAGAAACAAGGCCGTCTGCCTTGTTTCTTCATAGCAGTCAGATTGCGTTGGTGTTTTAGATGGTGAGCGCTTTCTTTTCTCATTTGCCTTGGTTGAGTTTGTTTCCTTTATTATGAGTCGATCATATCGGATGAGGGCCAGATTTCCTTTCTTTCTTTCTTCTTGTTGTAGGGACTTTAATACTTTCCTTTTCTGCAGTACTTCTTTGGGGTAGTACGGATCGTATATGTGAATAAATTAAAAAAAAAAACTTAAATTTAATTTGAAAATATACATTCCTTTTTGATATAAATGATTTATAACCGGCGTTATTATAAATTTTTAGGTCTCTAGGCAATTTAGTAGCGGTTCAAAGTCCTCGAGTACCAAAGTTAGGTATGTTCGTGGGACCGCCAGAACTTCCCACTGGCTATCGTGCGAGAACGCAAGAGGATAAAGGTAGGTCTAACACGTTATTATTTTTGTTTATTGTTTCATCACCCCTATCACCTCGACGTTCGTCGTTTCACAACTGAGCGTTTTTAAGGCAGTTTTTGCTGCGCACTACCAGTATGTAGAACCAGCTGCCCACTGAAGTATTTCTGAAGCAATTCGACTTAGGGTGCTTTAAAAAATGAGCGTATCAATTCTTAAAAGGCCGTCAAGGCACGCGCGAACTCTTTAATATTCAGAATGTCCATGGGCGGTATCACTTAATAAAATGAATTAATGAAAATCATATTTATCTATACTAATATTATAAAGAGGAAAGATTTGTATGTAAGTATGTTTGTAACGAAAACGCAACTCAAAAAGTACTGGACCGATTTTAAAAATTCTTTCACCATTTGAATGCTACATTATCACTGATTAATATAGGCTGAAAAAAAATGCAAAATATTTTCATCGCATACGCTGCTAAAACTATTGTTGATAGAACAAAATAATGTTCCACAATATTAAAGAACATATCAATATCTACAAAAAATTGATTAAAAAATAAATGTACACCCGTGCGAAGCCGGGACGGCCCGGGATTATATACACATAAATAAACTTAACCACCAAAATGTGTGGTAAATATTACGTAAAAATATAAGTTAAACGATTTACAAGTTTTGAGTCGATGATTCACATTGATATTATTAATTATTTTATGTAAATTTATATTGAATTTTCCAGCGAGTGAGTCGAGTGAGGGTAGTTCTGACGGTGAGTCTCGAAGGCCTCGACCTTTGCCTCCACCCCCGCACCACGAGCCAACGCATAAGGTAATCTTTAAGATTCCCTTTATCAATAAAACGGTAATTATTATTCATATTAAAACATTTATACCCAAAGCATATATATTTATGACAAGGCTTCAAACTACATTCTAAGTACCAGGTGCCTAACCATTTCATAATAATAATAATAATAAAAATAACCTCTTTAGGTCTGGACCTCAGATTTCTGAATTTGTTTCATGATCATTTTTCAATCTAATAGGCAAGTAGGTGATCAGCCTCCTGTGCCTGACACACGACGTCGACTTTTTGGGTCTAAGACATGTCGGTTTCCTCACGAAGTTTTCCTTCACCGTTCGAGCAAATGTTAGATGCGCACATAGAAAGAAAGTCCATTGGTGCACAGCCGGGAATCGAACCTACGACCTCGGGAATGAGAGTCGCACGCTGAAGCCACTAGGCCAACACTGCTCACTTTTCATAATAGACCTATAAATAAGTAGACCTCCTGATCTTTTCATGATGCTTTGTAATATAATTTATTAGAAAAACTCAGGCTTTATTTAAATGATTTTTGAATAGATATTAGCTGGTGAATATCCGTCGTCTGCGCAAGACAACTCGTCGTCAAGTGCGGCGGACTCACGAAGGAGGCCAACAGCCTTCAACAAACATGATAGGAGACATAAGGTGAACTTTAACTAAAAAAATGAAAAAAATATTTAACAATTTATAGTCAATGACAAAAATAATTTTATTAACAAATCAGTTAGACTTGCCCTTTAACTGCGCTTTATGACGTCAGTAATATTAAAATAAACGGTGCTATTATAATAATTTTTAAATTTCAAAAGTAATTTTTATATTAATAAAAAATATACATGATTTTAATTTTTTTTTTTTCTCGAAGTTTACTACCATTGCAAGGCTAAAGTAACTAATAACTGATAAATTTATGAGTTTTGTTTACTCTTAATAATTACATATAAAGACATACTTATTGTTTACAGGAGCTATCAAAGAAGGATAAAAAGAACGCAGCGCAAGCAGCCAGTACGGTGTCCGCACAAAATTGGGGTCCACAAGTGAGTGATTTTTTTTTATATAATAATCCAGTTTAAAGAAAAAAGATTGGTATTTTTAAATCTATCTATTTTTTTTCTATCTTTTTTTTGTATTTCATACACAAACGTCACGTATTGAGCGCTGTCAAATATGTCAATCTTCAGAAACATGTTTGAAAACTCTTAAAACTAGATCTAAGTTTAATTGATATTCTAGAATATGGGCCTTAATATACCGAGATAACTTACAAGTTACTGGATACTACACAACAAAATCTAATATATAAAATTCTCATGTCACAATGTTCGTTTCCATACTCCTCCGAAACGGCTCGACTGATTCTTATGAAATTTTTAGAAAAAATAATTTTTTTGCACATTCAATAAGTCTGATAATCTGCTACTATCGTGACCACCCCAAAATTTATCATTATTTAGACAATTTTTTTGTTTACAAAAATACATACAACCCTTAATTTTCACCCCTCTACGATCAACCCCTATATTTTATTATTGTAGATAGTTATTTTTATTGAACTAAAAAAATGTTTCCTAGAAATAATATACATGACAAAACAACGTTTGCCGGATCAGCTAGTATTATTTAGAAATCTTTTTCAGGGTCCACACGGCGTACCTCTCTTTGTAGAGAAATGCGTGCAGTTCATAGAGAGAGAAGGTCTCGCGTCTGAAGGATTATATCGAGTTCCTGGAAATCGCGCACACGTAGATATGCTGTTCAATAAATTCCGAGAAGGTATTGATTAATATGATTATTTATTCCGAGCAAATAAATAATCTTAATATATATAAATTACGCGTCACGTTGTTTGTCCGCTATGGACTCCTAAACTGCTTAACCGATTTCAGTCACAATACTAACAGATGGCGCTGTTTTGAAAGTACCGACGTTTCACATAAGCTACAATGGCATTACCACCAAAAAAGCATGGTGGTCCCCATGACTGGTGTTCTCCTACCGTTTCCCTTGAATAGTTTACTACTTTCTAATATAACAAAAACCTTAGCCCTGGCCACGCTTGGCCGATTCTGCTAGTATAATATAGATTAATAATTGAGTTGAGGGATCAATTTCTTCAATAAAATCCCAGAGGCTCTTTTATCTCTGCCTTTTAATAAATTTAAGAAATGTATTAAAGAAAAGCTGTGTAAAAAGGCTTACAATAAAGTTAACGATTATTTAGTTTATAAAAGTGCCTGGGACTAGTGCTAGACAGGCTATTTCTAATTAATTTGCGATATTTGTTTTAAAATAAGTGTTGTTTGATGATTTGCTATTTTAAAAGAGTACCGAGAGTTTTTTACGCCGGCTTTTTTTCTCGGCCTACACTTTGTCTTCTTTGCCGATGAGTATAGACATCCCGTCTACCGATTCAAATTTAATGTCGTGGAATAAGTGATACCTGTATTTTATATTCTGTAATAAACATATTTTTTGTATAGTTTAAAATAAGTTAACTATAAAATCTATAATTGCGTGACTGATTTAATTGATGTATCAAATATTAGACAATTTTGCTTAGCCCGTAGTGGTCTCAAACTTTTAAACTAAAGCAAATAATGTAAATTTTCAGATCCGAACATAGATTTAGATGCTCTAGACATTCCGGTGAATGCGGTTGCTACGGCTCTCAAAGATTTCTTCTCTAAGAAACTGCCGCCTCTTTTAGACGAAGCTAGTATGGCGCAGTTAGAAGATATTGCGGGTAAGAAAGTTTTTATGTTTATAACTAGGAAAACCAAAATTGGCATTATTAATTACAACGATTAAATATTAATAAGGCAGCTAACAATTTTCGTTAATAAGAAAGTCTTAAATTTAAGAACTAATTTGTAAAAGAACCATTTTATATTAATTTCCTCTTTTATTTATAGTATATTTATAATTTAGTCAAATATTCGCTTGTTCACCCAATTATAATTAAACCTTCTTATTAATAAAATAAAACAGTCTCATTGCATCGTTTTAACTAAAGTAGTATGTCTCTTTTTATCACAGTGAGAACACAATTTGATAGAAAAAGACGAAAGAGAACTTCATTTCAGGAAATACAATTATAATTCTTTAATTTGAATGAATAAGGGTGTTTCAAGTTATGCCAGCCTCATACAATATTTAATTTCTTTTGTGTCTTAAAAAAACCAAGACCTTAAATATTAATTTGGTCTTGCCTTAATTGTGTCTCTTACGTGTCTTGAATGATGATGATATGGCGGCCACAATTTTAGTAAAAAGCCTGTTCAATATTATTTATCTATCCTGTCTAAAGGGTTAAATTTGTTAAAATACCTCATTGAGTATCTCAAGCCCTAAACTTAAGATGAATATAGAGTGTACCTTGCGCTAAGTCTTGACTATATACAGTGTAACCTTCATGTAACATTTCTAGATTTAACGACAACCTCCCTAATGCGTCGAAATCACTCGACTTTGGTTGGTTAAGCTTGTCTTCCATACAATGATACCCTCTATATAGCATTACACCCACCCACAATAACGACAGCAATTAAATACTAAAAAGTACTTTTTAAGTTGTCGAAATCAGTTAAAACTGCTGCGCTGTGTACGTTGTTGTGTCGCTTTATTGTCCTTGCGGGAAATAAACTCGTCTGTCTGAACTCGTCATGCGTATCGAACTTTCCAAGAAATCCGTTCTTCTTTTTTTTACAAATTGCCTATGCACGAATGTGCTTTATCACGAAGTTGCCTCAATATCGCAAGATATGAATTTAATAATAAAAAAATACAACCTAACTATTGGTACAGTACATAAATAACAGACAACGCAATAGCGTTCAAATACGAATTGTTCTTATGAAATTACTAACACTAGTCTAAAATAAAATTTATTTTTCTAATACAGATTTTTCTTTCCATTTAACGGTAAGTCTTTGTAACGTCAAAATAGGCACAGCCCCTTCAGTGTCGTTATATAGAGTTTACACTGTATATAGATAGATTTAACTATCTACTATTTAATGTTTCAATTTCAGCAATGCGAGGTTGTATCGCGGGTGGGGTAGAACTAAAGGACCGCAGTTGGCGTTTGTTGGCTTTGCGGGCGCTACTCAACTCGGCCCTTACTGCGCCAGCCAGGGCCACTTTGGATTATCTGCTAAATCACTTTGCCAGGTATGTTTTTTAACTTTCAACTTTATATAAAAGTATTGAACTAGCGTTTGTTAAGATTTAACTCTATCCGTGATTTCATTGTTATTTTAACTTTCGTGTAAAAGGTTTGTTTGTGTTATTAATTTTACTTTTAGTTTGTACTTTTACTTACATATTTTTAACAAATAAACGCTCAATGTTTTTGAAAAAAAATTTTTTTTTTTATTTTTTTAATTTGGTTGTTTAAAGTCGGCTTACGGACGATTATTTTACGCGATAACGACATTACAAAACATTGATGAGAAATTGCACACTTTTATGAATTGAATTATTATCGTATTGTCTTTGATTAACATAACTTTTATTCATTTAATAAAACACTATTTTGACCGGATTGAAGTTATGTATTATTATAAATTTACAACTATTTAACATAATTTTAAATTTATCCGACGTTTCGCGTGCTTTACAGCGTGCGTGGTCACGGTAATAATACATAACTTCAATCCGGTCAAAATAGTGTTTTATTAAATGAATTATTATCACTAAATTATCATTCTTTTGTATACATTTTTTTTTATAATGAAAGAACAAATACATGAGATAATAACGCTAATCAAATTCTTAAAAGGCAATAATAAATTACCCGCTGAAATTGCTATTGTAATAAACAATGGAATTCACATTAACTTTTCACTTCACTTTATAAACAGTTCACGTATAGGTCTTGTGCTGCCGCTGTCTCTTACTCGGATGCATCGGCCAATGGAGTGGAAGAGAGATAAATGCGTCATAAACTCTTAGGCTGATCGTGCCTCTCAATCGCTTGTTCCGCGCTCTCGCTTGCACGCTCGGCTCAGGCGGAACGTGAACTTGTGTCATGTTTTTTCGTACGTCCAGGCGGCGTTCATCGATTTATAAGACGAAAAAAGTCCAGAATGAATGTTTAATCCTGCATCTAGAGTAAATAATATTTTAATATTCCAGAGTGGCAGATAACTCGAAGCTGAACTCAATGGATAGCAAGAACTTGGCGATATGCTGGTGGCCGACCCTCCTTCCAGTTCAGTTCAGTGACATGGGCCGGTTCGAGATGACCCGGCCTTACCTTGAAGACATTGTCCAGACTATGATTGATCAGCACCCCTTCCTCTTCAGGGGGCAAGAGGCCTTCGTTATGGTCTGAGGAACGTGTGTGAGTACATTTTTATTAATATCGATAAAGACTAAAGGTGCATCGGAAGAAAACGCAATAATTCTTAAATTTATGTGATTATTTATTTAAATTTTGGTTCTTTTTATTTCTTTGTAGGAATTATCCAACTTAAATACCTATACATATGTATATTAACTTTTATGCAATAAAAAATATATAAAATATTTCCAGGAACCCACAATGCAGGTTGCATTTGTGATGGACGACGTGTGACGTCATCGTCACGTGATTTTCGATATTACCCGTGCGTTATAAGCGTTAAAGTCGTTTGAAACACGTGGGTTCAGTGGACAGTTTTATATCGTTCCATGCTAGCCTAGTAATATTTGTGTACGCGATATTTTTTACAAGTCTCATATCATTACACGGTATAACTATTGTATAACAGGGGAATGGTATGGATTTTGTTACAACGATATAAGTGTTATCTTTTCTTCTAATAATTTGTAGCTGATTGTTGTTCTATTTTGGTCTAAAATAGATAATCACTTAACCAGTATTGTTGCACAAAATATGTTATTAATACTGGAAAGTTTTAACTTGTTTAAAACAACGCGTTTTAAAACCGCGGATGACTTATGACCATTTTTGGGGTATTTCTCATAATTATGTAATAGTTATGCTGTGATATCGGCTTTGTAGGCGGCTTGTTGATGTCAATGCTTTTTTAACGAAACGTTTTATATGAGAACGGACTGGTTACAGTATTTTAAAGCATTTGTATTAAGAATTGCACAAAATATGTATTTAATGGGATTTTTGTATCGTATTTATTCGTGTAATCGACGTAACATCACTTAAGCACATTCCGTTCAGTCGAAATAATATAAGGTTCCTATATTTAACGTACAGATCTTACAATAGAAGTTTACGTTGCGTTGGCTATCGATGGATTGTTATCCGTGAGTTAAATATAGGAAAGGAGCCGTGCTTTGAGACAAATTAAGTGTAATGAGTGATTGTCTGTCTCTTTAGAGTACAGGTTTAGGTATAATTAAATTATTGTCTCGAAGTACGAGTTTGTATTGAAAATTTCTCATATTTATATGAAGACTTTTCCTACAGGCGTTATTACCGAGTTCGTGTATGTAACAAACGGAAGGTATACGCGTATACGTTACCTTTAATTTTATACATACGGCAAAAGTAGTAGTTTATATGATCTAGTATATAATCACGAAATGGTCTGATCGATATTCGTTGCTTTTGCATTTTTTGTATATTATTTAAATAAATTTTATTTATTTTTTCTAATTTTAGTGAACATTACTATACTCAAATATTTATGGGTTTGCCTGATTGAAAAATTTTACTATGGTTCCTTACAATTTTGCCACATTTTGTTAAATCTTGCCCTATTTAATAAGGGAATTAATTATAAATCTAATCGGCATTGTTAGTAAGTAATTTGACCCTTTATCACAATTTACATCACAGTAACCTGTAATATAGTATTAGAGTTGCTAGCTCAAACCTTTACGAGTCAAAAATTATGCTATTATTTTTTATGGTGGCCTCAAAAGGCACAGTTCACCAAAGAGAATGAAAATTTAAATTGATTGAAACTTATTTTATTTTAAACATGGCCTAAGGTATTTTTGTAGACTGAATATGTTGAGATTAGTTCATGGCAACTGTTATAGCTGTTTCTTTTTTCAGCTGCTTGTATGTGAGGTATTGCAAATAGCACGCATCAATTATTTAATTACCACTTGACTTTAAAAAACTTTGATAGTGAAGGAAAATCTAATTTTGGAATTTATAGACGATACCTGATATGTAAAATTGCAATTCTAAATTGTTAAAATTCTGTCATTTGCAATACCTATTGAATGGCAGTAAATCTCAAGAAAAAAATCTTGAAACACAATCTAAAGAAGGTTTTGTAGTCTTTAAAACCTTTTGGGGATGAATTACTTTTTTATACGAATTAGCTCGTGCAATGAATTGGAATTATATTTTTTTATTTTAAATTATATTTGAGTAGCTATCTATAAACGCTTTTATTTTTTATATATTATAAAATATAATCTCTAAACAAATCAATGTAACTATCATTAAGATATTATATAGACGTCTCCATTAAGCTAAGTTAAGGCATATTCATATAAGTTTTTAACAATTATCGTAATATATTATCGGTCCTTGTCGCACGTTCGCTTTTGTGTATTGTAAAACGTGTGTGCGAAAGGGACGCATATATCATGTCCAATAGGGGGAAACGATGTGAGGGATTTTTTTATATTTTACTATGAATCGGAAAGACTATAGCCTACTATTGTTTGAAGTTCAAATTTCGCTTCTTGGATCTCAAAAAATAATCCCCTTTTCTTAAGCTATCCTATATAAATATGCGATGTAAATATTGTACATTCATTTATTTTTTTGCGTAATTTATTTATTTTTTGATCGAAACGGTGCTCTTCCGCTGGCGTTGACTAAATCTATTCACAATTAAAGTGAAGATATTATGAAATCTTCGGCGTAAGAGCACCATAAGAGCCATGTTTTTGTTAATTGATGAAATATTTTTTATTTATTTTTTATCAGCGCAAGGCTTAACGTGCCATTGAGGTTTTAGCGATGTTTGTTTACGTCTAAAATTCTTTGTAGGTTCTCGAATGTTCTATAGTAGAATCAATGTACGCTTCGCCGGCTCATGCTTAAGTGGTTACTGAATATTTTAAACAACGTTTTACATTTTAATGAAGTTATTTTTGAAAATGAATTGCTAATATTTTATTGAAATGTTTTGTTGAGGCTGATATTTTTTTAATCATTTGTGACTTGTAAGCTGAGCCGGAAAACCATTTTGCTATGTGCGTTTCAATCAACTGTTCACACAGTTCAAAAGAATGTGTCATATTTTATAATAAATAACCATCTATGTAATTAACTTGGTTTTTATTTATGCTCATTATTAGTTACGATAATTGAGAATTAAAACAAAGTATAAAAACGAAATAATTTATTACACATCTTCCATTTACACTTCTGTATTTCAAATCGCAGACTATATACAACTATTCAACTATTCATACAACATTTCTATGACAAATTCGAAAGTAGGAAAACGAAACTACCCACATTCTAGAACTAAGCTACTAAATGCACCGCAAGAACATTAACCCTGGTATCTCCAACTCCAAGAAACCTCCAAAGACGGGAACGTGGTTCCCAAAGGGAGGTCAGAAGACCTCGAAGATTAGCACTAATCGTCTGTTGTTTGTCTGTTCACACACAACCAGCCCCCCAACAGCCGCACCAAGGAATCGAGTCGGTCTGAGGCACGGCTGACAGCTTTCTTGACTTGTGCGTGCACGCTGAGCCCAGCGAGTTCATCGACGAACACATGCTGTTTGTACGCTCGTGCTCCGAGTGCGAGGTTGTCATTTCCTGAAAAATATAAAAAAATTAGCACGGTTTGGGACACTGCATTTCTTTCAAGTACTTTAATGGATATCTTTAACTTAGAAACTGCAAATTGTGTTTTTTTTTATTTGTAGTGCTTTTGTTAATATGTACGAGGTGCATATTAGCTAAAAATTCTACCGCATTTGTCTAGTAGGACTACACTAACCGGCAAACTACCGGGCAATCACACGTTGCCCAAAGGACGGGAAAAGGAGGGGTGTAACAATAAAAGATCTGTGTGTCAAAAGCTGATATAATAAATACATAAATTACAATACAACACAAAACGTGGTCTAATACAGGTCCGCTGCCATCGACCTCATTACACCAAAAGTGTACTCACTAAGGCCTCCGCACTATCAGGCTTGCTCATTCCTAAAATTTCAATGCACTCAAAGCCTTGATTAATGAACTGATTTTGTTTATCTACCGGATAAGATGCCACGTATTATAGACCTTGTGATATGGACCCTTATAAAGAATTGCAAGTGTAATTTAGGCACTAAGCAAGCCCAGTGCGAATGTAGCGTGTGTCTACCGTGTGAGTGCCCGGCTACGTACAGTACCTGATAGCTGTCCCGCTTGTACCGCGGGCACGAGCTCGACGATGACATGGTATTTCGCGGGCGATGCCGCGCGCAATGCTTGTGCTTCTGCTCCTGCTCTTCTATCAGTCTCTCGTTGTCGCTCTCCACCTGAACCGGTCCTCCGTTCTTTGTCCCGTTCTTCACTTCTTTTTTCTTCTCCCGTCTCTTTCTATCCCTCTTTTTGAACGTTAGCGAGAACCGCTTCCGTTTTTTCGCTTTTGGAGATTCGGGCCGCGGCTGAACGGTCGATTTCTCCCGTTCTGAGCGACTCGTGTCGTCGTCCGGCGGTTGTGCTTGAGATTCTGAATCTGTTTTCTGCGTCACTTCCGTTCTAGAAGAGGACTCACCCTCTCCGGTTTTGTACGCGACTTCTTTTTCTAAATTAGCTAGTTCCATCCTGCGTAACCTCTTGGGTAGTTTGTTGACGGTCGCGTAAATCGGTTCCTCGTTCTCTCCGACCGGTGCTGATCGCGATCGGAAAAAAAAATCAAATTTTTTAGGCTTTACAGGAATCCGTCTCTCTACAAAGACGACAGTGCTGGCCACTTCCGTGGTCGTTGTTTGTAAATCGTCGCTAGATTTGGGACTGGGTGTGCTCGGAATGGGCGTTGTTCTCGGGTAATCGTACGTGAGCTCAATATTCTTTTCAGTTACGTAGCACTTAGGTTGCTCTTGGCACACTTCCGGTTTAGCGGCTTCGTCGCGACTCTGGCAGCAACAGTGGTTCTGTAGAATCTTCTGCGTGTTACACATGAATACCGAATTTTGTTGGATGTACGTGGTATGTATTGTGGTTTGAGAATGTTGAACGTCCCCTAACAAGTCCTCCACGTTCCCTCCCGTGGGGAATCGGGGCGCTTGATATGGTGTGGTGACGAAACCGGGAGGCGGTGGGCCGGTAATGTGGCAGGGATGTGACGTCACGGATTGGAAGAAGCTCGGCACATTCGGTGCGTCGTGAACTAGAACATCGACTGTTCGCTCGTTTTCATTGTCATCTGTATTTGGTTGAGCGAGCACATTGTTCTGAGATTGCGTCGGTTGTTTCGTGACCGGAGCGTCATCACTCGGCTCTTTTAGCTCGTTGCTTTTCTCGTCTGTTTTTTCAGATTTTTTTTCCTCGTCGGATTTCCTTTTCGATTCATTTTGGCATTCTTCACAGATGCACGGGGTCGCACTGCCGCTCTGAAACATTTGACAAAATATTAAATAAAATGTAGACAAAATCGGTTACGTTTAAAGCTATTTACAGTCAAGTGCTCATAAATAATAGAAATAGTGCTGATTGCGCATTTGAGTGGAATGTGGTATTTAAAATGAGATGTTTGTTTGAAATATGCACACGTTCATAATGTGCTAATATTATTAGGTGCTACACGAGTTAGATTATAGAAATCACGTCCGATGTTTGAAGTTTTATTGTTTTCGAGGACTTTTAATTGGTCATTATATTTTACCCATTTCTTGGATTAAATTTATAATTGTTTGAATGGAGTGTAGACGAACTTATATTATTTGATTAGAACATTTCTATTAAAATCATACTTTAGTCATTTTAGAATCACGACAAAATATAAGTAATATTTTCAATAGAGTTTTGTCGCTTAAATAGTTTTGAACCTGAATATGTTTGAAATGGGCATTATGTCGTTACTCCGACGTGGTTTGATACTAATGTGGTCGAAGCAGCTGTTCCATGGTCTTCAGAAATAAAAGGTGAACTCACCTCGTAATGTCACGTAGACAGTTTATTGTGATGTGAGGACGACACATGCGTCACACTTCCGAAAGTAATCAGTGTGAATATTAAATAGTTTTATATACGGACTGTAGATTAAATTAACTCGCCACCCAACGCATTAATGTTTGCTAATCAGTCCTCACAAATAATATAACTAAATTCTTGTTAAAGCGAGAGAAGGGACATCGAACATCGAACATTCATTCATCAATTTATGATTGAAGTTTTAAAGTAAAAGTTTAATTAAAAGGAACACCAATAATTAGACCACTTCTTAAATTAAAATAATATTTCCCCCGAAAGTAATAAAACAACAAAACGTATTTTATACTATTAGAATTATAAATGGGTTGTTATCGAATATTCTTTACTTAATTGCACCTATGAATTATTGACACATTAATTGTTAGAGCGATCTTAAAACATGCAAAAAACGTAATAAAGAACCAACCACCATTATATCCGAAAACCATTGGCACGTACGTCCGTCACAACGTCGGTACACCACACAACTGAGTTTATTTATAAATCCTCCACATTAGGCACTATAGGGTTGTCAATATCTAGTCTACAAATGTTACACCAAAAGCTGGAAGAGCCAGCAACAAATCGTTTAGCAAAGGTGTCTCACATTAAAACCCACCTTAAGTACCTGTCCTTTTATAAACAAACGTTTAAGTTATAAATTTGTATTTTCAGAGTTATAATTTGAAGATCTTCTAGACAAGACAACAGTAGGCAATAAATACAATTTAAAATTAGAATAAATGGCTACTTAAATTCACATTCAAACTATTCTAATTTTAAAGAAACCTTAAACATGCAAACTACCTAGAATGTTTTACTAAAATATGATATGGTTATTGCTTACCGAAGCAATTACGGGAATAAATAATTATAATTGTGTTTTATTGAATTCCCCAACGATGCAGCCCTAGTGGAGTTTTCTTATAACTCTTGCCCGACCTTGACTTATTTCCAAAGCTAAATCTTTTCTCTGTTATCAAATTAGAGTACTTTGAATTCGCTAAATGCATATAATTAGCCGACTTCAAGCTTCTTAACGAGAAAATAGAAGTATGAATCAAGTCGAGTCGATCACTTTAGAGTTTTTCATTAGCATAGATAGAACACGGGAACAAAAATCATATGGAAATTCTTAACTCGTACCGTACTATCGTGGTAAATAAAGCATAACATACTAAATTTTTCTAAACTCCCATTTATATTTTTATGGCTATGGAGCTGAATTTTGTGGGCTTTATACGACTTTTATTATCGTTTATTCTTATCTCATTTTAGAAGACGTTTTATTGATATCAGAGGTTGTAAATTTACGTAGTAGAGATTGGCATTTTGTTTCTATTTATATATATGTATTTACAACTTTATATAAATACCATAGACTATATGATTTCTTAATTTAATTTAGAATAACTACATAGAGAGCACAGAGAGGCGATAAAACATGATCACGAGGTATTATAGTAATAATCACATTCGGACTGATGTATCTATTTCTAGATTCGGTTGTCAAAGTATCGTAAAATGTTTTTAGTCAATTTAACATATTTGTTTTGATTAATTATTATTGATGGTATTAAACCATAAAAACTTAAGATTCAATCTATAGATGTTCAAATTACTATGAATGTTTGGACTTGAACGAGTTAAAAATGATTTCTAGACACTCCAAAACACTGAGAACTTGCTTCATGCAAAATAGAAATAATTATACCTTGCTCTTTTTCTTTTTTAGTTTCACCGATTTTGTTTTTGGCTGTTAAATGTAAGATTATATTAGTATCGTTGATTTATACTTATTTCATAATTGATCATCAAATTTAGGATTAAAACGCTACTATCGCATATTATATAGTATAACGAAATAATATTTTGATATGGTGCTTTAAAGTCTCAAATATAAGTGTCCCATATACAGATCAATTTATAGGCAAGTAAATTAAATTTTCTCCTGCTACACACTGAAACATTCTTTTTGATCGGATATAAATGTATTTATTTCATATCTCGAGTTTCTTTCAACCATCAGAACCCGTGGTCAATTATTCAATTCCATTATTTTATAATGTTTAAGAAAATTTAAATTTTGAATACTCAAAACAATATAACAAGAAACCTTTGTGTTTGTTGGTGGCTTAGTTACGAATTCAAACAATTGTTTCATTTACGTTTGTGTCGAAATTTAATAATATTTAAAGAAGTTATTTACCTAAAATCCAATCTTAATTATCTTCTTTAAAATTTTATACGATTTTTTTATATAGAACAGGGGGCAAACGGGCAGGAGGCTCATCTGATGTTAAGTGATACCGCCGCCCATATACACTCTCAATGCCAGAGGGCTCGTGAGTACGTTGCCGGCCTTTTAAGAATTGTTACGCTCTTTTCTTAAATGACTACGTAATTCAACATATTTCAGAGCCACACAAACTTTATCAAACAAATCATCGCGATTAATCCTATAAAACCTTTGCATAGTGTTAATAATACACTAGAAAAGTAACACTTTTACCTAAAAAGTAGTCGTTAGTAAACTTAAATTAACCTTATTTAATTAATTTGGTTTAAGTAAATTATAATGTGTATCACCTTGTTCTCCTGTTCGCCCTCCTCGGGTACAACAGTGAGGTCGTGGAAGGCGACACGCGGGTCGCTGCATTCTGCGCACGCGCCGCACATCGACGCGCTGTCCTGCCACACCATACTGTCACTTACTTACATAATATTGGCTCATATAAGTCGTAATAAGTATACAAAGCTAAATAAGTGCTAAGTATCTCATCTATCGGACTTGGATAAGTTCAGAGCCGAGTGAGACGGTACAGACCCACCAACTTTTCGGTGAAATGGAGAAAATGGGAACTACGGCCGCCATGTTGAATTTCGGCAGCTACTTTCTTTTTGTAAATTACCCGATATTTTTTTCATTGATTACTTTTCAACGTAATTGTAACTTAAAAAATATAAAGATGAGTGATACAACTATCTATAGTTCTCGTCACGTAAAAATAACGCTGGAATAATCTGAGGGGTCTCCCGCATAGGTACGTTTGGCTTAGCGTAAATTCGCTCCACTCCACTTTTTTTTTAATATAACGTCCTAGAGTGGGAAAAGGGCAAGAAGAAGAAGTTTATTTGCAAGTTATTAAATTTCAATTGCCTACTTTGCTAATCATTTAGTTTGTAAGTGATGGGGTACCTACATTATATCAATTGAATGCCAGAGAAAAAGCTAATGTATGTATCTACCTACATTAATTTTCTTATTTTCGACGACTATTTAGTACTTATATTACCATTTTATTATTATAAAACAATGTTAGGTCAATACCTAACATTTAAACAATTTTAAAATGATAAAAATATGTTTATATGTTTACCTAGTTTCTTATCTGACATACCCAATCATGGGTAACTTTTATTAATTTGCAACACTAGAGCGACGGTGGCGCTACCACTCAGTTCACAGGTAAGTTGGTGGGACTATACAATTGTGTTTGCCAATGTCGCGTTTGCATAAAAAAAGTAAGATTTATTTAAACCATATAAAATATGACTCTCGCTACTTGAAGCCTCTATATCTACCAGTTTTTGACATCGTTTGACAAGTATAAAACATCAGCGTATAAAAACCACGGCAGTTACGACCTTATGTAAACGTTTTAAAACAAGCCCCATGATAGAGCCAATGGATTATATCAATAGAAAACAATAACGTACGTCCGAGTGTTCTGGCGATGAACGCCGCTCGCGCAGCATCCGGTCCAGCCTGTCATACTCGTAGCGGAGTGCCGATATCTCCCTCTTCAGTTGCTCATTCTCCCGCTTCAGCTTCTTTATATCTGACTGACCTGAGCAATGAGAAATATTATTATAATATTTGTAAGGGGAATTTGATTTCTCAGTTTAAAGAACGCAATATATCGTTTGACTTGCAGATGCGTTGCCGGTTTTTTTTTAGTTTTTTTGACTGTAACTTGACCTATTTAAGTTAACTCACTTAAACTGTAATACAGAATTCTAATTCTTGATTTAAAGTCTAGTCTATAAAATACTAACCTATAATTGTGTAACTTACAGGTGTGGTCTCAGTTATCAGTAGCAATTAAGCTTTTAAATATAATGTGTACATTGCTTGACTGCAACATATCATTGATATGCAGGAGATGGTAGAAACAGTAATGGAAAAAGAATACCACCTTGGAAAACTCCAGCATTTATGGGTTTTAAATCAGAACACGCACCGTCAATAACGACCTTGATGTTCCGATCAGTTAAAACTAAAGATCCATTCGCATAATTTCACGGGTATGTCCATAAGCCGGAAGTTTTGAGGGAAGCGCCTTGAGCCAAACCCGATCGAAGGCTTTTAAAATGTCCAAACCGACCGCCAGTGGATTCTACAGCCTCTACCCAACGGTGTGTGCTTTAAGTTAAACGATCTCGGCCTTAAAAGCCTTGGGTCCTTTTAGGTCATAGCCTTCTTCTAAATATAAAGAGAGCAGTCATAACGGAGTATGCGTTAGCGTAACGGAGGCGGCTATTTCACTGTGTATATACCGTTCTGCTACCAATAATATACTTCTACATTGACATCTCTATAAGATAAGCTTTTCTAGGACAATCTAGAATATTTTTAATCAACTGACCTCTTTCAATTTCTGCATTGATATTAATTGTCCGTAACCGTAGCTCTTCGTTCTCGTAGAGCATACCCCGAGACGACTTGCGGTCCAATCTGAAATTTTATTAATACCCTATAAACCTATATTCCTCCTCTATCTGTTCCTATCCATGTATCCTTAATGGCCTTATTGTAAATCAGTTCTGTGGTCACAAGGCTTGCCTGAGTATCCATTGTGAGCTTCCGGGTAAGGCCAAATTAACACTGCGCTTTACACTATTTATTTTTCTTTCTTTTTATGTTTCTTTGTTAATGTTTAGTGTGCGTGTTAATATTTATTTTAAGTCAGCTTAAATACCCAATTTTTTTTTAATTTAAAATTTTAGGAATAGCATGCAACACTGAATTATTTCAGTGATTCAATAATAACTGATAATTACTAGTGAGTATAGTGACGCTACTAATACTAGAGCCATGCTCAATATATAATTATATATAGTAAAGGTATCATCTGCAGTAAGAGAAAAATAAGCTATTTATCAGGCCTAAGAGTCCAAAAGAAACAGACATGCTCTAAGATTTGCCTTCAATGAAATGTTCCTACTTTTAAAACAACCTCAAAAGCATGGCTCCAGTATAACTTACTTCCGATTCGGCTTGACGTTGACATCCTTTCGGCGCGTACGCAGCATGCTGGCTCCCGTCATGCCCGACATGGTGCTGTTTTCTCGCCATGCGTCAACTAATACCTGGAGATGAGAAATGGAATACTAAATGACAATTTAATGGAACTAGTGAATCACAGGGAAACACAACACTCCATAGTCAGTTTCAATTAGCGCGAGTACTGAACAAAATAATTTGTTGGCACATTTAGTAAATTCCGTACCCCGTCCCGGGGTAAATATATTTCTGCTTCCGCCTCATTGATAATTTTCCTTTATAGCTAAGAAGATGATTAACCATCTGACAAACACAGTCGATTTTTCGGTCTAAGACATTTTTACTTACGATGTTTCTCTACAAGCAAGTGCCAATTGCGTACATAGAGAAAAAAACCATTGGTGCTCAGCAAAGGTACAAATTCACCACCTCAGCAGCTGTATTCCTGATCCATTAACTAAGCTAACACAATCAATAGTAAAAAAAATAAAAATCTAATTTAATTATAATATATATGTGTATATATAATTAAAAAAAACTACAAATAAATGTTAGCGTGTTGCGGCAAATTTAGAAGTACGACTAAGCTTCACATACAAACGTTTTAAATCAAATATGCTTGGTCTAATGGGATTCCTTGGAGATATCGATCAAAGAAAGAACTATTTCTTGGGTTAAAGTTTATTAAACTTGCAACATTCTGCAGTACATCATGAAAATTAAATGTCGTAAACGTTTTTTGGGTTTTGTCATAAAAAAAATTATCAGAATATAATAATTAATAACAACACTTTATTGAATACACAATTATATAAAAATAAGCAGGAACCACGGTATCATTCTGTATAAGAATTAGGGTAGAGCGGGGCTAGTTGAGCATAGGGGCAAGTTGGGCAATCGAAATATCTCGGAAACTATTCACCTTACGCGGGAGTATCAAATAGCGAAAAGAAGGAGTGGTAGGAGAGGTAATCATCGCACAATAGCTAGTGGCAGCTCGACGAGTGAGTGAAGTGTCACGGCGTTTTGTTTATTTTGTGACCAAAAAGTAAAAACATTGTTTATCGCAAGTTTTCGTCTGTCTTTGTCAAATGTTCTCTGTTTTCAATCAGGAGAGTGTTAATCTTTCAGAAGATTATTGTATTTTTGATTTGTAAATAGGTTTTGGGTCTAATTCTAGGCATTTATTTACAATCCTACTTTTCTTTTAAAATTCCGGGTTGGGGTAAGTTGAGCAACTATAGCTCAACTAACTCTACGACTTAAACAACTGATGAGTAATGAATCTTTTATTTTTTGTTTGGATGCGGACTTACAAGAGAAAGACTACAAGATATTCTTACACTACTGAATACTTAAATAATGCTGCAAAGGCTGTCCACGATGAGGGAAAAAGTGTGAATACCGCCGCTAAAGAATTCTGAATTGGTTGACTTTTAAATAAATTAAATGAAGGTGATGATTCATTTATGGGCTATACAACACCGAGGGAAGTATATCCTCTCTCACAAGAGAACTGTTGAAAAAATTCTTGCTGCAAATGGCATTTTTCTCCAAAAGACGTCCGTCGCCTTGCCTAAGAGTGTGCTGAAATTCCACCAAGCTGAATTGCAAAAAAGATTTCCGGAAAAGAATGGTTGATGATGTTTTAAAAACAAAAAAATCGTAGCTATCCATACAGAAACCAGAACCCACCAGCCTTGGTAATCTTTTTTTAGAAATTATCGGAAGTAATGGATAGATATGGATGCTCATGTTTTGTTGATTCTAGTTTCGGTTGATTATACAAAGAAAATTTCTTCAAATTTTGTTGTTCTGTCAATAAAAGACTATAAACAAAAAGCTGACTGTCTAACACATATTTTATTTCATCTCAAGTTAACATAGAACCCATGGTTTGGCCTAGACATTCTTAGTGCCCAACTTGCCCCATACCCTTGCTCAACTTACCCCACCTATGGGGTACATTGAGCATACTTGACTTTCTGCATTTAAACATCTGTAGCTATTATATTGGACTTGTTACAAAAAAATACTATGGACACTTTTGTTAAGGGATAAATTACTAATCCATCAGGACACATAACAACTCATTGAGACTTATCATTGAGGAGCTATATCCAAGCAAGTGAAAAATTGCTCAACTAGCCCCGCCCTACCCTACGTGGTGCCCCGAGCGGCTTTAATGAGCAATATTTTACAACTTACTTTAAATAAAAATACGAGTAGGCTTAGTCATCACTCATCACAATAATTGTATTATGTATATCGTTGAAACCAAATAATCCGGCATCGACCTAATAAAAACATCTTAAGTACCTACTATAAATTCACTAAATAGTACAAGTAGGAACAATGATTAATGTTTACATCAAACAATCAATTTGTCCAATCATTGTTTGATAGGTAAATTAAACTTCCGGTTAAAGGACGTACGCTAAAAAGGACGTCATCGGTAAATAAACCACTATCAAAACGCGTATAATATTCGTAAGAAGTTAACTTTAAAAATATAAAGTGCTCCATTCCTGCTATTACCTGCACGGGGCCAAATAGATGAATAAAAATAGTAGAGTTTATACTCATTGAACCTTAGATCTGAATATTATAATAATGCTAGTTAACTAGTAAACTGTTAAAGTAATACTTAAACCTTAATCAACGTTTTTTTATATTTTTAAGCCGCCTTAATCATTAGATGTATGGCTTATAAAATAAATAAGATTTAAAAAAAAATAGTAGAGTTTGAAATGAATAGCAGGTACACTGGTTCTAGTACAAATTTGAACCGTCGCGTTGTCTTGGTTAACAGGTTCTTCCTTTTAAATTTAAGCTATTCTTTAATTCGTTAAATAATCGTCGGACTAAACACATAAAGGACAGAAAGGTGACGTCACTCTAAAAGGACGCCTTCAAACATATTTTTAACACGTGTCTCGATAATCCTCTATATGAGAGTTAATCATGACACAATGGAATTAATATTGTAATCTTGTTTACTGTTTTGTACTTCAGCTCCGAGTATCAAAGTAAACGTACTCAATAGAGACCGAAATTCTTTATTAAATTGACTTATCTTTAGTTTGGATTGCAGCCAATGCTTTTCATTAGTTAAGGCTATTTAGGTATGGAATCATAAAAATGTTTATACATTTATAACAAAACAAGATTTTTAGCCTTTAGATTTATATGTATGTGCAGCGTAGCGAAATGCGCAATCTTCGGCGTAGTAAGTACGAAACAAAACAGAGACGCATACTTTTGCTACGTATTTAAATGATTTTGTATTATTATAGTAACTTAACCAATCTTTATATATATAATTCTTCTGTGAGTGTGTATGTCACTGAACTTCTCTCAAACGACTGGACCGATTTTGATGAAATTTTTTGTGTGTGTTCAATGGGATCTGGGAATGGTTTAGATTCACAAATCAGCCCGGCAGATGGCACTGCAGTCGGTACTTTCATACTTTGCTTAATATCCTAATCGCTTTAAATATCATGCAGGACAACGTCTGTGGGGTCCACTAGTTTTCTATAAAGTTATCCCCATATCCAAAACCAAGACTGAGAGTCCTTCAAAAACATTGATTAACCAAGCTTTTTAAATTATTATTAATGGTTTTATTTCTCTTCTGAATATCTACATTTTTGGAATGAAGTTATCAACATTTAGTTATGGACGTAAACAAATTCACAGGAACCAGCTAGCTAAAAAACGCTACATTTTACACTTTCAATGTAATTTATATAATTGATTTAAAAGTTTAAATTTACGACTATCTAGTCAGTCTTTTATGTAATCTTATGAGCGTCAATAGACTTTATTTTATAAGTATCTTATTACATAATAAATTTCCCATTGCTACATCCGCTAGCAGTATTACTAAACAATATCAGGGGCAGTGTATCTGCCTCTATATAATGACTAAACAAAGGTGTTTATAGATATCCGTAAAAATTTTGTTCGCAGGTAAGATAAAATATATCCACATTTTTTTTTAAATACAATGTTATATGGGTCAGAGCAATAAGTAAAGACAAAAACTCATATTTTAAGCCTAGCTTGTTCAAACACCGCTCAAAGTATAAGTTTAAAGAGTGAACAGTATCATCGGGTGGGAGATAAATAGATTAGGACTAAAGATTGTATGCTATCTTATCTCGTGACGCTGTCAGTCCAAGTTAGTATGGGCAACTTAAAGCTGAGATCGCCCCATTGATTAATGTGATTGTGTTTTTGTATTTCTTTTTAAGGGTATGTATACTTAAATTAATTATTATTTCTATATATGTGTCGAAGATTAAAAGACACGGCTGCCGCAAATTCTATTAATATTTGGCAGATTGGAGACGTGGTTGTCTTTAAGACATGTTTCTGAATCTGAATCTTTAAGGTGTCTGCATCTATTTCACAGCTGGAACTGGAAGTCACGATTTCTGGGTTGAGAGTTTCACATCTAGCCTCCATTCTTACACTCCCAAACTTTTTGAAATTTAGCCAATGAGTATTCTGTCTATATGTTCTCGAACTTCTATTAACTCTTTAACATATTACTAAGCTATTGCTGTATAATGTAAACGATACAATTAGTGAAACGGATTTCGTTACAAACGTGAAGTAGCATAGCCTTGGCCGTCGTGGCCTCGATATTACCAATACTTTTGGAGAACTGTGTCACCGGGTAAATAGATTAAGAGGAAACTTTTTAAAATGTAAAAACGTTACCTATTATATTAGTACACGGAACTAAAAAAATTGCGTTCGATATGCTTTTGGCAGAGGAAATACTCGCACTTTATGTCTATTTTATCCTAAACTTGATTAAAATGAGCCACTGAAGAAGTTTGCCTTAAAGTTCGTTTTAGTAAAAATTAAAAAGCTCGTATTTCCTAGATTTTTATCACCAGGTCAACCTGGCTGCGATTCGCACACTTAAACTTTTGCTTGAACGCTCTTTTTGTGACAAGCACTTGTCCATTTGACCGACATGCTGTGCTGCGACCCAATTAGCAATTCTTCATTATTTCAGTTTTAATTTAAAAAATGG